GTTCTAGAAGTACTAAGGGCCATCTCCGTTGCTGTACATCAAGCATGTGTTTTCACGAGCAATGCCAGTTTCCAGCTCCGGGAACACTGTGTATGACCGTAGTATTAGAAGGCACCAGTTCCGGTGACTTCCTCAACATTTGCCTGTTATCCCATGGCCTATCATGTCTCACTCTTATGCTGGACTGCTATCGAGAGCTAATACTTGAGCCAGTAATAGTATCCTTTCAACCCCTTCGGCACAGCTCAATGTAACCCTGAATGACGGAGGCTAGACCCCCTTGACAGCCTGCACAATATCACTGAATTGATGTTCAGACTTAGTTTATTGCACAAATTGGACCACTATTGCTGATCAAACAGGGCCCGTTGTTCAAGCGAGATACCACTGCACACGGGCATAATAAACAGGATAAGGGAATTCGAACGACTGACCTCGGACTTAGGTTTGATTTTTGGCTGCCTGCCCTTCTTTGTAAGGTAAGCTGCTTTAGACTCCATCAGATTCTGACTAGCCATTGCTATGTCGCCAAGCTTGCTAGTGGATGCAAGTGACGCTTTGGCAACTCTATCTTTCTCTTATGTTGTAGGTGCAACCTTGGGTTTCTTCACTTTTTAAAAATTGGCATTTCCGGTCAGTTGTGCGGTGGGTGCTGGCTGCTAGCCAAATTGGTAGACAGTAATTTACGTCAATGTTGACATCCCCAATATTGGTCGTGAGAAAAATAAGAAGAATGACTGATCCAACAACCACCCACACCAGACTCTGGGCAGGCAGATACAGTTAGCATATAGATGATCTGACATTCAAGAAACAGCTACAAAGAGATGAAAGATTACCTTTCAGTAGGAAACAACCAACCAGAAGACTGTGCTTTTCTGCTAACAGTAACCAAAAATAATATACATGAAAATATATAAATATGTGTTGACTTCCTTAATAAACGACCTGTTGCCTGGCACTTGTCCTCTTTCGTTACAACATAACTGGTGCAATGACTGGCGACTAGCATTCAGTTCTAATGAATGGGGTATCATGTACTTCAGTAACTCCCATCCGAATTTCAGGTTACACCTAGGTGACTCTCTTCATATGGGTCACACCCTGCTTGATTAATTAAGGGACTATATACTTGGTAGAATAGAAGAAGAGAGAATAAACGGTTTACCAACTGGTCCCACTTTAGGGCCCGTTGCTGTTTATTTTATGTGATAAAGGAGCATATATAAACTCTAAATTATATTCAGCAAACATCACAACGATATTAAGATTTGAAAGACTACCAACAATGGTGGTGTTTAGCATGCTTCACAAGGTCATTTCAACGAATAAACTCAATGGTCCAACCCATGGTATCCGCAAATTCTTAGGTGTGGTAATATACCTAGTCTAATAATCCTATTAGACGTACTCCCCACAGGAAACAGAATTGCCCAACTTTATGAAACCGAAGAGTTTAGATGTTACTGGCAGTCACAAATTAAAAAAAGCTTCATGTGGGAATGCAACATTGACAAATACTGTCCTAATTCTACTGGAACTAAAGATGGGTTTTTAAAGGTTAAACGATTATACGTTTGGGGTTCTTTACACAACTAATGTTCAACCTTACTTGGAACGCCACATACAGGTAGTTGGGTGGTACGTTAGCAGTAGCTACATGCCTCTAAAAAACTGCAAAATTTGTCAGTAAATGAAGTAGAGATATCTTGTTCCGTCCTAGTAAGAACACATAGTACATGGTAATCAACTCACTATCATATTATAGCATAACTTGGTTTAATATTTTGCTATACTGAAGTTTGGGTGCAAAATTTCCAAACGCTAATAACCTTTTGGGTAGCCTTTCAAGAGATCATCGAAAAGGTGCTTAAATCGCTATCTAAAAAATACAGGTAGAACTAATATTCTCTCACAGAGATGCAATGATTGTCTTTTAACTCAGGAACTGTAAATGACCTTTACCCTCAGACGTATTCCGCTAGGTTTGAATATCGTACGCAAACATCGCGAACTACATATGTTGCTGGTCGATAAAACTTGGTCGCCCAGTTATCACAGTAAGTTGTTGGAGTTGTAACAGATAAGACTGTTCTTACGTAACAATTATTAATAATTAACTTGTAAATTTCTAAATCATAGTCTGGTATCTTGTCCAATCCCAGCTAGCATTTTCTTCAGGCGCATTGCAGAAAGTGGGACAGTTATTTGCAGCCTACCCTAAAATTTCTGCAATTAACTTGAATTCAGTGCTGAATGGAATATTACAAAGCTATAAGCAGTATACTTATTATAATTAGTAATAGTGAAGTGTACTTCACATATGTATGTACTTCAATTGTTACAGGAAGATGCGATGAGGAATCACAGACCTTTTAATGACATCTATAACTATATAAACATGCATAACTAACACACACATATAGTGTACAATTGAGTCCGAATCCTACGAGTTTTCGAGTCTTTGAAATCAGAGCAATTTGACCAGTATAAGTACTAGCATTAGGATTAATTTTCTAGTGAAAAACTTCTAATTCCACTCAAATATAAAAAAGATTCCGAAACACAAGATAAAATAAAATATTTTTGAATGTCCCAGCTAGCAACGATTTTGGGCGCAATGCAGATTAGGTCGTTGGTACGTACTAACAAATTATGATTAGGAAATATTTTCATGATATGCTGAAATTTGTCTAGGGAGCTTCCTAACTTTAAATTATGCGTAAATATGAATAAAAATTCAAGTTTTAAAGTCGTGCGATTACAATTGATATGATTATGAACAATTAACTTTGTTCGAAACGTCATCCAGTAAATAACACTGTTTCAATTTGTGATACATCTAATAAACAAACTAATACGTAAATATGAATGTTTATACAGAAATGTGTTGGGACACATTTGAACAAATTCTTTTTGTTCTAGCACCCATTTCGTCAAATAAACCGTTCGAAGACGTGTTTAACCATGGGAGAGCACAGTTTCTAATAATTGTTTTCATTTTGCTTTCTTACCTTATTTGCTTAATATTCGTCTAAGTTTTTTGCCTCCTGTTTTGCCTATCTAACGTTTCAAAATCTGCTTGGTTTCTTAATAGGTAAGAAGAGAATACTCTTTTCATACCTTCTCATCATTCCAATACAATCCAACAGTGTTGTTAAAAGGTCAAATAATGGTGTTGGTGGGTAACTAAATTACGTTGAATTTCATGTCAGGAAGGAAATAAATAAACTATAAAGCTTGGTTTTGTCCTACGTAATCTCAAACATCAGATGACAAATATTGTTTAAAAATGGTTATTAAAACTGTAAGAGCCAGGAAACAGAAATACTGTTAATAAGAATAAAAGACAAAAATTCATGGGGCAAATAAATGAGAAGGCAAATGAATTCGGGCTACATATAAAGTTATTCTAAGGCTAGTTAAAAAAGGAAACTGATTTGAAGTCATAGTAGTGAAATGGACTGGATAAACCACACTTTCCCTTATGTAAAGCATGAACACTAAACATCAATTTTATAAACCCCTCTACTAACGCAAAATGAACTGAAAGATCAGATCGTTTAAGAAGCAGACCATTGGTTGGTCTAGTTTCTTCTCTTGATGGCTATATTGGAAGAGGATCTTGAATTGATCGAGAAGGTTTGTTTTGCCCCTATGTGCGTCGGTGACACAGTGGTTAGGACCCTCGCCGACCATGCACATGGTCCGAGGTTCGATCCCCTGGCGACGAACACCTAATATCTATGGTCGGCCTGCAAAATTTGGGCTACCGATATCCATGCTGAAAATTCCATACTTGTACCAAAAATACAGTGTGGAATCAAGCTGTAATCAAAAATATAAAAATATATAAAATATAATATAAATCAGAATAACGTAATACTGAGACACCTGCCCGTAACTGGTAATATTGCATATAACCTGTATTGAATATATACATTCACCACTTTTAAAAACGGTGTACGCCTCTCTAATAGATTATGAAAAAATGTTATTAATCATCGATGAAAAACCATGACAACTTTATGCAAAATGATTAGAGGGCTTCAGGAAAATATTCAGCTGAAGATGCTCTACACATCACCCTAAAATTTCCTCAGTGACGCTGATGGAAGCTGGGTGGAGTTCTGGTAGCATTTTGTTCGGATAATAAGTTTGTAAGGTAGACTGTAACAACAATCTGTTTAAAATGTAAAATAAAGTTTGGTTATTTTAAACATAACACTTCCACTTAAAACAGCTTCCACGAGATTTTTGATAAAACATGACACTATCAGTTCCATTACTGCACCAGTTTCTAATAATAACTTTGTAATGTTCTCTGAAAATCTTTAACAATCACTTTAAATGACATGCTGCACCACTTAGAGAACGGGCTGTATATATCATTTGAAACATGTGAGTTCCTCAATGAATAATCCTATAAAATGGTAGGCAACTTTTCCAGGGGACACAAACTTAGATGATCCGGACTGCATACCCATAACCAACTCATTATAAATCCCGTCTCTCACCCTGTTGGTTATTTTTCCTTCTTGGTTGCTCATGAAAAGTTCAAAACACTTATAACAAACCGTTTATCAAGCTGCTAAAGATGTGACCTAACATTTTTTTCGTATATTATCTCTGTTAAATATCAGAAAGCAAACATCAAGATATTTTTTGAGATAAATAATTTAAAGATGTTGACCTGTACAACTACCAGTGTGATCAAATTTGCTTCTTACCACCAGAAATATACTTGGCCCAAATTTCTTTTCATTCAGTGTGGATGAAAAGCTGTATCCTTACAGACTACAATTAATCTTATTTTTAAGTAGTTTCGGGGAATTACAGCTGTTAAATTCCCGACCTTTCACTTTAAACGCAAACAAACAACCATAAAAACCATTCGATTTTCTCTACCTGTATTTTGTAGAGCACACTTCAAACACGTTCTGAATCATACTAGAAAATGGTCCAAAACGTTACCTGTGTGTGTTAGACAGCATTATGACATGTTGAAATGTGTAATTCGCAAAATGTTTGCTGCGAAAGCAAATTCTTTGGAAAGCAATCCAAAGTTATGTAAGTGCGCTTAATATCTGATGAAATTTACTGATTTGTGAAGCTATTTGATTAGAGTTCGACATTTTAGCCCCCAAACTAATTTTTATGTTTTTTGACATTATTGTGATTTATCTGATTATGGTGAATTTGCAGTACTTACAAATCACTATGGTGATTTAAGAGGTTAAAAATTATATGCCACTGGATTTTAACCTGGAGGTTGGATGGCGACCTGATGGTCTTTAGACTGATTCATCTCATGTTATTTACTGATAATGGGTCCAAAACTAATGTCTATAGATCCTCAGATTTCAATTCTTACATTAGCTTGTGCTAACTACCAGTAAATTCACCAATTTAAATACTTGTTCCTTCGGGATCACAATAAATATACACCTAACATATTATAAAACCCTCTACACCACTATAATCGCCATGTGTATTATGGTTTCCTTGAAATTTTCTAGGAAGAAAAATCTCAGCCTCTTATGATTGAATCAAATACTTACAGCGATTAAAAATTCATGTGTTTAAAATCATTTGTTTCACAACTCATTAGTCCGTATGATAACGGAAGATAGAAACCACATGTAAAAATGTATTTTCTATGAGTATTTGACAAACGAAAATGAATTTCGCATATTTAGTAAATTCTTCATATTCCCTTAAAATGTAAACATTTAGCACAATGTCATCGTAATAATCTCCCCAATAGATGGAAAAGATACTTAGCTACGTATTATTAGTAGCTGAGACAAAGATTAAGGAAGAGCCGCGTTTCCACAAAAATATTGGCTCAAAACAAATAAATTCTTACTTACAGGATCTTAGTTTGATTGATATATGTTTGAGAACTGCACTGAAAATTACTGATAAAATTGCTCTCAGGTATATAGAAACTCAAGGTACTTCCAGCAAACTGTTATAGACCCTTGACCGTCATATTTCACGGGAAGATGGATAATTCCCCCTTATTGTAACTACAGAGGGATCAGCTAGACTTGTAAAGCGTCTAAAAACTCAGATTATCTGCTTGTCTAAAAATTTATAGGAATATAAATAAGCATTTCCTATGGAAAATACGTAGATTTCAGATTTCAGTAGAAGACTAACTGCTTTAATTTCCACTCTCTGACAAGCTTTAAAATATAAAGATGATTACAAGGACTCAAACATTACCATAATTTTTGACCTTACCAATCAAACAGTGCGGTGGCAGTGTGTTAGCTCTAGAAGTAATGAGAATTTTCGATTTGAAAACACTGGGTGAAATGAACAAATTTCAGTATGGATACAGAAAGTCCGCCTGTCATTTATAAACTTCAATTATCCCTGATGTAGATAGGATATCCCACCAGCTATCATATCATTTGTGCATGCACAACAACTGACTCTGCCGGACTTTAGAGTTGTGATAAATAACCAATGAAAGCACATATAGAAAAGATCACAAATTTCTATTATTTATGATTTCATTTTTATGTATGTTACCTGTTGTGGAAACTATTACTATCATTTGTTTGATCTGTATAAAGGTATAAGCAGCTGCGGTGTTTTTTACGTCAATTTGTATTGCTTTTAAGATCAGAACTTTTTATTTTAGCTCTTCACGCTGCTGTAATTATACAGTGTTGGTATAGAAAGTGTAAAGCGAGACTAGACGTCCGCCGAAAGTGCGCATGGCAAGTGAACCAATCACTAGAATACGTGATGGATACAGACGATTCTGAAGGGGTTAGTAAATTTCTAAAGTAATTTCCTTGTTCAATTTTAATGTCGCTACAAATGGAGCTAATCACAATAAATATATTATATCCTGAATTTGGCCATCCTTTCTGCTTTTAACGTATCTATTCAAATTTTCACATGACAACCATTCTATTTTTCCTGTTTGGGTACACTTTTTCCAACAGAGGAAGCTCGTGAAATGAATGATTTTATCCTACGTTTTTATATCTATTGCATTTTAAATAACTCCAGTTCTACATCTGATGTCCAGTATATATTAAAGGGGAAATTGTACTTAATTCTCTTGGTGGTAATGTTCCACTTGTCTTCTTAATAGTGTATTGAAGCTTTTCCTTATCATATAATGATAGACCAGCAGTTGTTAATATAAAGGTTAGCTGGACAACTTGCTTCACCTGTGGGAGGATTCATATCACTTCAGCATTTTGAAGGAGGGACTGGGTTACGTGTATTAAACTGTAAGCTAAGGTTTTCAGCGAAGTGATATGACCAAACAGTTGATATAAGCTTAAAGCACATAGTATCTTTTAATCTATATAAGATTTTCAAATGCAGAATATGACAGTAAGCGATAAAATCTTGAGGAGAGCCTAGGACTGAGAACTCCACACTATTTAATATAGAGTCATGTTATGAAATTCATCGAATCGGAAAGAACTCTACATTTATAAGAACTATTATCCCATCCTACTAAGTTGTGTCATAACTGATTACTTTAAGCTTCTCATTACCATTTATTTATGTATACATATTTGAAACCTCAAAGTGCGTCGGTGGTATAGCGGTTAGGACGATCGCCGACCATGCATATGGTCCGGGGTTCGACCCCCGGCCGGCGCACTCCTTTACCTCACTGAGCCAGAAATAATGCTGGTAAAGAGGCAAGGTTGGGAATGAGGCTAGCAACCCATCCTGTAAAAATTAAACACTGCTACAGAAACTTCAAGCCACTAGCTTGGAGCCCTATGTTCCACTGGGAACGTGAAGGAAAAATTTATTATTTGAAACCTCAGTTACAATTGGCTAAGTTTTAACGTTTCGGTATCTGTTACTGTGAAACTTCTTCTCACAAGGTTTTCAAGAATGAGATGCAGGTGTATTGCATGTCAACATGAGTTTAGTAACTTTTAGATACTGATTTCATAGTTCCATATCAATGTGTTTTTGTGACCTTTGGTGTTGTGTAAAAATACCTTCTCAAAATGACGAAACTAATCAGATTTCTTCAGAATCTGCTAAATTTATTGACAACAATAATTTTAAATAAACCTCAGTGACTACTGTGTTTACTTTTAGATTACGTTTGATAAGTATTGGTGAGATATTATTTTCAGATGGTTTTTTATATTGAAAACCCCTTTTATGAATGCCTTAAATTCCCTGTATTGTACAAATTTATCAAGAGATATTTTTCTTCACCTGAATAATGTTTTTTTTATGAATCGGTATGAATCCTTAAGTTAATGCTCAGAATATTCACTTACTATGTGTATATTGTTTATTCATACAGCTACAACTTATATTGTCTAACTTTGGTGATACAGAAGATGGTAAGGTTGAGACAGTTTCTAAATTCAGGTTTTTTTTTAAAATATTTCTCCTTCACCGAAACACTGTTGAACATAATACTGCATGAGAGTTTGAAAGTTTTTGTGTAATCACTGCACGTAAAATTCTGTGTATTACTTCAGCACTACACTAATATACCTTAGTATATAAAGATTGAATGTTAAAAATTAAGGTGCAGTAAAAATGATTATTTTTTGGAAATTTGCACTTAAAACAAAGACGTATATGCTACTGGCGAAAAGTTATCACCTCCTTTATGTTCAAATATTGTTATTCATTTGTACAACCGAAAAAAGTTCATCTTCTTGTATTATTATACCAAAATCGCTGAGTAAACATTTTTGATTCTGAGATGATTTGAGTCTGTTTGCACTTAAATGATGATTGATGTTCCTAATGTGATGGTTTATTGCGCTGAATAATGTCGGAGACTGTTGTTGTTCCAATAATTGCATGAAAATTTAATGTATGGTTATTGTGAATTTTTTCTTTCTTGGAAAAAAATATACAATTCCTTGATCAGTTTTAATTGAGTTGGAATCAATTACTTTATGTCTTCTGACCTGGGAGAAATGCTTGAGCGTACTTCATGTAACGTCGACTTACACCAGATAATGAGTATATTTGTTGATATGGTGTTCTGTAGGCAAAGAAATAAACATATGCGTCAGACAGTGGGAAACGAGAAGACAGGGATATCCTGGACAGACGCGAAGAACCTAGAAGACCTGGATTTCGCGCGTGAATGATTTATGTTTGATGTCACACTAAATCGAAGACTTACAAGCGAAAACCGACAAACTGGTCGAAGAAGCAGCCGGCGAAGACAGGACTCCAGGTGAACATAGACAACACGGAGGTTATGAAAATAACAAGTCAACAACAACAACAACAGCACCAACATCCAGCACCAATCACCATCAACGGGAGGGATTTGAAAGAGGTCACTTCATTCACTCACTTATCTAGGAAGCATGTCTCAACTACAGCCAGTCAGAACGGACGAGGATGTCAAATCGAGTGAGAATCGGGAAGGCGAGAAACACATTCATCAACCTGAAACCAATCTGGAAATTTTCGTCACTCAGCCAGAATCAACAACAAAATTCGGTCGAATTTTCAATACAAACGTCAAGTCAGTCAGTTCTTCTATACGGATCGGATCAGAAACTTGGCGGGCTGGCGGGTCACAAAGAATATTTCCAACAGCCTGTTGCAGACCTTCATCAACCAACAACTGTCTTCGCTGGCTCTCTACTGAAGATCAGATGGCCGGGCCGGAAAGAATCACCAACAAGAAACTATGGCTGAGAACAAACAAAACAAGAACCAATCGCCCAACAAATATGCAGGAGAAAGTGGAGATGGATCGGACACTCGCTGAGGAGACCGCTGGGTGACATCGCGCGCTTGTCAGGCCATCGCTGGAGTGGAACCAGGCCGAAAGGGAAGTGGCGGCGAGTGGATCGTCAGTGCAAGGGTGACATGGAGGAGATCGTGTGAAGAGGGGTTGAAACAGTATGGAGTAAGATGCATGGATGCTTGTGAAAAGTACAGCGGAAGGAAGACAGAAGCAAGTGAAGACGTGCAGCTGAAGCTCTATGTTCCACTAGGAACCCTAGGAAGCAATAATAATAATAATTTCATGTCACTTAACTACTTTGAAGTACTAGTAAGTAGAGGCTACAACAGGAATAAAAAAAGTAATAGAGGAGATTAAAGAGTAGATACAGAAAGACGAGGGTATGGTGATGTGACAATAAATTATTACCGTCAAAGTAGGTAAAGTGTTCATAAATGAGTTCATATTCACCTATGACATTGTAATGAGTATGTGTGAATAAGGAATGCAGAATTGTTTGTTACTTCTTTATACTTTGATTAAGATACTCTACTTGAACTAAATTGGCGCCGACTAGTGTTCGCATTCAGTTTCGTTGTACACGTACTGTATATTTTCCAAAGTGTTACAAGCTGAAATGAAACAATTTCTGTGGCACATTCTTTTTTCTCAAAGCACCTAATAATTTGTAATTACACTGTTTAAAAACAATCTTATATTTCATTAAATTTTTTTTGTAGAAGAAAGCTTATGTTAATAATGTTGACATCTGTCTAGTAAATGTATCCGCAATGTTTTCTAAAAATCTACTGCTTCACTTGTCAAGAATCCGAGTTTTGATATTGTTTTTTGTCCGGCTTACAGATAGATGCTAAACATATCTATCACTTACATTTTGTCTGCAAATTTTAATTTACCGAACACTTTAGTCATCACATTTTCAGATATGATTATTGTTAATTCTGACAAAGAGGAAAGTTGAAGTTAATTTCTTTTTTTCTTTAAATTCAGTTTCAGAATCAAACAAATCTTTACTCAATAGACAAATTTCGTTTGCAGCTGACTTCAACTCAGATCTTAACTCTTTAGAACCTCCAATATCTGAAGAAAATTTCCTATCCTTCCTTGCGTGGATAAAGTCAGATAAGGTAAGTTCAGCTGACATATCTTTTCTGCGATTTTGGACTAATTTCTCCAGTTGTCAAATTTTTTAATACCACAGCTCAGATCATTGTTTATTTTTTGTATTCTTCTAAGTCTCGAAAAGTAATTCTCTCCTGTATCTACCTGTATTTTCGCTTAACTTTATATCATTGCAAACGATATAAAGTCTTGACCATCGAAACCAATACGCTTCATTTTAGACTGCTGAATAGATTTAGCTAAGTTTTTTTGCAGGGACATAGTAATAACTGCTTTGAGTAGTGTGAATTTTTCGCACCATTGAACTGTAAATATCTGAAGCTATGATTTTTATAACTATGATTGGAAGTGCGACTGCACGTCTTTATTTCCAATTTCTTTTTGCATGATTCTATAAGTGATAATTTTACTAGAATGTGTTAGTTACAGCACAAACGAGTATGTTTCCTAAGTAATATTCGGTATCTCCCATTACTGCTCGCGTTAATCTCCATTCTTGTATAACTGGATTTCTTGACATCAAGTGAATAAATAATGTTGATTTAAGGCCGGTAGAATTGGATGAATGAATGTATTTTGTCAGAGACATACTGAGCTCTTGCCTAAAATAATGATTTTGTGGCCTGTCAAAAGTTGTAGTGAAAGATGAATTAGTTCCTACGTAGAAAACTCTTTGTGGCAGGATATTACAAAATGACAGACACTGCGGTCACTGACTCTTGGCTTTCACTTTATGTAAAAATGAGCTCATGAAGTCTTCAAGTGAACTTTTCCTGAATCATACCACGAAGTAAAAAATCAATCAATATGGTAAATAATCATATACTCTTTGTCTTTATAACAATCACAATGATGTCATACCCATTTTATATTTCCGTCTATTCCGTTTCATTTTTTGAATTTATTTTATTGTCTTTTTACTTCTGTATAGTAAGTCATTTATATATTCAGTGCTTTATTCTGTTTGCTTCATCTTTCTATTTGTAAGACTACCTACTTATGCGTGGAATATGACCATTGAAAATTTGTGCTGATTCTCCAAAAGTAAATCGTACACTCTACTCGAGCTCAAGCAGCCAGGTGAGGGCTTACGGCGAGTTGGGATCTGAAGTGGTGACAAGTAGTGGTGTGCGTCAGGGATGATCATTATCCCATTCCTACTGAACTTCATCATAGATGTACTGATGGACTTAACCCTAACTCACTTCAGAGACACAGAGGTTGACTTGCTACCAGGGAATAATCTTGTTGACTTAGAATATGCAGACGATATAGTCCTTCTAGGCGAAGACGCTGACGAAATGCAGAGTCTTCTAAACACCTTGAGCTGCAATCGGAGAATGTTTGGAATGCGATTTGCTCCCGCCAAATGCAAGATGATGTTACAGGACTGGACCACACTGACACCTAGTTTAGAAACAGGGAGTGAAGTGGTAGAGCATGTTGACCGCTTCACTTATTCGGGAGGTACCATCAGCCAGTGCCAACGGGTTGATCTCTGACGAAATCTCCGCACGGATACAGAGGGCTAGTTTCGCATATGTCAGTTTACGCCGTCTCTGGCGTAGACGAGATATCCGACTATCGACCAAAGGGAGTGTTTACTGCTCATCAGTCCGCTCCGTCCTCCTTTATGGCTGTGAGACCTGACCATTGAGAGTGAGATTAGCTGTCTTTGATCTCAGGTGCCTGCGTTCTATCTCCCGTGTGAAGTGGTATAATAAGGTGAGCAATATTGAGGTTAGGCATCGAGTACTAGCTAAACAGGAGAAATCAATCGACGAAGTTGTGAAGTTACAAAGACTGAGATGGTTAGGACAAGTGTTACGCATACATATCTAGTCATCGCCTTCCTCGATGAGCAATGTTAGCGGATATAGGGTCAGGCTGGAAAAAGGCTAGCGGAGGTCAAACAAAAACATGGCACCAGTCAATGAAATCTACAACAGTTAGTCTAAGCCACGTAGGGAGGTGTAGACTTCCTGGTTGAGGTCCTTGGGACGGTAAAAACCAATGGTAGGAAACAATTGGTGACATGGCTCAAAATCCTCGTTCTCAATGGCTAGCGCAGATGCATCCACTCCTTGTGACTTGTTATTTCCAATGAAACTATTTTGTTCCTCGTTATTACTCTTCCTTTGTCTCACACCTCTGTTTACTGTCTCTAGTATGCATTTCTTCTACTTTCTTCTCTTGCTTTGTATGCTACAAGGAGGGAGTGTGGCGACTCGAACTGTCACACATCGGTGCAAAGTTCTGTGTCGAAAACAGACAGACAGAAAATTTTATAAGTCAAGCAGATAGACTGGGAAATGAGCTATAAAGTACAGTTTAATCTATTTTACAGTAACACTACTAAATTCAGGCGGAATTTCTTCTGGCGTTTATATTAAAAAAAAACAATAATGGATTTAACTGTTTCGTTTATATATCTGTGTAACTTTTTAAGAAGGAATGATACTAACTGACCTTTATACAATTTTATACACATATTTTAGAAGATTCCTGTTAAATTCGTAGTCCTCATACTGACCAAAGCTACAGAATTTCTGCGTCAACAGCCGAATCTTTCGGAAATAGTACAAGAAAAAGATCATCATTTAACAGTTGTGGTGATCTTCATGGCAATTTATTAGCAGCTGTGAAAATTTTCGAAGAAGTAGGTTATTTTTTTATACAGACCAATAACCAAAGACAGAGTAATCAATTAAATTTATTTTTCGATGTTTAAAACTTATGTCATTCAATTTTTTATATCTACAGTTCAATGAAGCAGTGTTATTGATATACGCCCATCCCTTATACATATAAATAAATGAGGATTTATAAAACCTAACTATATTTATTACACTTATTCACTAAATATACACACGTGGTTGAGCCATATTTAGGTTATTTTGAAGGATTTATAGTAACTGTTACTACGACAATCAAAATTGACGGAAAATAAATAGGACAAATTTCTGCTGTTTAACTTTGTAAGCATTTGTTATGAGCAATCAAACATGTTACTTAACACCTTATTATGACTAGAAAGAGTAATTGTGTTTCATCGGCCAGATTCATGCCTTTCGAAGGCCATTCGTTAATGGACACAGGAAACTCACCTACGAGCAAATAGATTTAATGAAACGTTTGCAATATGATAGTATAGATTCTACACCAAAATTTCTGAGAAATGATTGTCAAATGCTTTTTTATTATGATGTGAAATAAGAATTAGAAGGTAAATTTTGTTAATATATACATCTTCCAAGTTTGTAAATAAAATGCGGAAATGGAGGAAACTAGAAGTCTTAGCTTTTATTTAGGTAATCATCATAATGCTGATTCGCTTCAGAAAATACCGTAAACAGTGAAACATAGAAATTAGATTTCTTGAGCCATTGGTTTCCATCCCAATAGGTTTACGACAAACCAGCTTACCCTGTCACCTAAAAGTAATAGGTCTGATCCCTGGTGGAGAATCTCAAACTATAACGAAGCAGCTGTCCATCACCCCATGGTTTTCAATGATTCTCTGAAGGATACATATCCGTGATAACAATTAAGGACTCCATGTGCTTTGGAAAGTGTAGGCAGTTGTTACTTCCCAACCGCCCACATTGTGGAAGTTGATTTTTTCTTGGGGTTCCTGAAATAGAAATAAAATTAGTGTTGCGTGACCGCAAAGCCCAGAGGACAACTGCTTTAGGTCAATCATGCACACCCTGTATGAACTGGTTTCTTGGTTTGGTTCCGTATTAGTAACTTACCGCCGGCTATGTACCACCGTAGGGTAAGTCGGGATGTACAATTTCCCCGGTCAACCTTTTTTAAACCCCTCTCTCCAGAGTGTCGAGATGGCAAAGCTAGCATGCTGGTCATCTGACGGAAACACCTCACTGCCGTTACATCCCTGTTCCCCAGCAGTACAACTTTATCCACAGAGCCCCAGCATAGTGAAAAAATTCTTACACTATTTCGGTAGCTGCTTATAGTCTATTCGCTATCCTAAAAACCTTACTGGCATGGTGAGACCTTCAGGAATATTATTTCCAGTCAGTGTAGCTTGTTAGGTCATTGCTATAAACAAGCGCGACCATCACGGCAAGGTAGCAGCTATCGGTCTATTGTTCTTCGATATTACTTTTGTTTTTGCCTCATATTTCTCTCTATTATCTCTGTTTTGAATCTCTCTCTACTCTCTCCTCTTGCTTTGTGTGCTACATAGACTGTGGCAGCTCGAACTGCTGCACATCTGCACAAAGTTCTACGTTGAAAGCAGTCAATCAGTCAGTGATAACACTTGAAATCATAATGTTGATTTACTTCAGGAAACGCTATAAATAATACGCCATGTAATTTACCTTATAATATAGCTTTTTCCTCAGGTTAGTGTAAATATAAAGCTTTCCTCTCACAGTGCTTGAGGATAATAAACGGTGCATATTTTTAGTCGAAGACTAACTTTGTATTTACGACAACAGTATGAATAAATACTTATTATTTTTAGCATAAGTAACAGTTTAATAAAGGCATGCAACAACTTGATTAGGCCTACTGAAATCAAGGTAAAGTATGTAATAAGATCAATTAAAGTGTTTCCACCAAATGTTAAACATTGGTTTACTTTATGGAAGTTATAATAAGTTAATATACTTTATTTTGTTTAAAATAACTTAATGATCCGAAACTATTTGGAAGGATTTTATAGGTTGCAAAAAGTCTATCTTTTTAATTTTTGTGATATTTACAGACTGGTTTACCAAATTATCACAATCGGATTATATTTAATGGAGATTTTGTTGATCGAGGGGCTAAATCAGTTGAAGTGATAAGTTTGTTGTTAATGGCTCTCTTAACATATCCGAATGACATATTTTTAAATCGAGGAAATCATGAAGATATCAAAATGAATGAGAGGTAATCGTTTTTTTAAATATCATAAAATGACGGTGTATTTTACTTACCTTGCATTGTGAACATGCGTAGACAGAAAAGATATTCGTCTTCCTTCTGTTAGATTCCACTTTACATTTTTTGGTGTATCCGACTTTATATAGTGACATGATTATTGAACAGGTAAAAGCATGTATCCTGTTTGATCACTTGCCCAAATGAATAAAATTTCTTTGGCTTAAGATTAATAAAATTAACAAAACTATCAATTCTAACTATTACACGTCAGTTGGCCTTTGTTGAAAGACTAATCTTAAAATAAGTATATAAATTTTCGAAAGTTTTTGGTGATATATACCCTTTACCCTTCAAATCCTTTAATAAGTTTGTTATTTCCCTCTCTACTTTCTCCGTATGATCTTTCATTGCTTCTGTATACTTCTATATACAAACAGGAGACTTGGTCGTCTCCTCTGATGGGAACCTAGAAAGATTCATATCAACCCTGATAGACTGTTGCTATCAGTATAAACAAAAGGATAAGAATAAGCCCCACAGTATACTCACAAAAGAGCATCGAGAAGCTGTTAAAAGACTAGGAAGAAATGAAAACATAGTTATTACCAGACCGGATAAGGAACCGGGGATTGTAATTATGGATAGGATGGACTACATCAACAAGATGAACTCCATACTAGCTAACGGCAGCAAGTTTCAGAAGCCGAAAGCAATGAAAGATCATCCGGAGAACGTAGAGAGAGAAATAACAAACTTATTAAAGGACTTAAAGGGTAAAGGGTATATATCACCAAAAACTTCCGAAAACATAAGACCCAAAGGGAACACTATCCCACACATGTATGGTCTACAGAAAGTGCATAAGTATATAAATGATGGAATGTACAACGAGCGAATAAAGCTAACTCTGAGTAATTTTTGTTATTCTTTCACCTTGGCTTCTTAATAAAGTTCAAAAAATATATGAAACTGATTTAAAACTCGGAAAAAAACAATTTAGTAGCTAACCAATTACATATTCATAATAATAATGATACATTCTTATTTTTTGTAAATGGGGGATGCCAGTTTACAGGCATCATCAATATGATAAATTACATACTTAATAATAATATAATAAAATAAAATACATATATATTCTTACCTATGTGGGACATACCAGTTGTACAGGCATGCATAAGTATTATTTAAATTACATGAATTTGGTTTATGGTTGTTGCTGTCTTTCTTGTCTTTAGTTTGTAGGAAGAATCTGCTAACCAGTCATTAAGTGTAGCACATCAAAAAATACAGAAATATGGATAGTAAACCATAAATGTCTTATGAATGTTGTACTACACCTGGGTTATTCAAGCTTTGAGAGGTGAAGTGAAGAATTCATTTGGAATTTCGCCGCCGAAACCAATAATCCACAATAAGAGCATAATGTTATGCATAAGCATTCCCGCTGAACCATAAATTTCGCATTGTCTTGATCTGTTTTAAATCTCTAGCCTTCTGATTCACTAGTGATTTTGTATCAATATAAGATTTTCACTTGACTAAAATGATAAGGTTAATGAAACAAATAACTTTGTGTTAAGCAGTTTATTTAACACTATAAACATATGGCATTATTTGATGGATGACATTTCGAAAAGAATTCATCGTTATATATCAAAGTAATCGCCTACTTTTTCCCCTTGGGCCTTAGTCGACATGGACAACCCGTCTTCCTACATGTCATCCATATCGGCGCCGTGCTTAGCGTGGACGCCCGATCAACATGAGTACCAATATGCCAGAACTCTCGGTCCCGCGAAAGTCCGCACCCTGGCCTCCAAGTAGCTAGATTACAGGCGTACGCCACCAGGCTCAGCCACATGTTTGATAGTATCTGAAATATGTTTTCGTCGCTACTGTGTGCGATATGACTTTCCATTACTCATACAGCAAACCCCCGTCTGTCCGATAATGGGATTGTTTCAGGCGTTTTGCCTTACCTTAGAAATTTAACCCTGACATAATTAACTGACTATTGACGGACTGAAGCTTTATATCTAATCCAATCGAAATTATCATTTAGTCTACAAATTATGTATTTGAATGAGTTTATGAATGTAAACACCACCATAGTCTCAGCCTAAATGCCTGATATATCTCCTTTGTAATACCTTCTAGCTGAAGGTTTAAATTGTATTAAATTATAATAAGCAATGATTGAACACAAAAATGTCCTCTTTTCTAATAAAACTGATGTTCCGACAGTAAATGGATTTATCAAAATATTATGTGAAGGATATGTTCAAGTGAATGACTGCTATCAATCAGAGCCCTGGATATAGAAATTTAGCTAGGTATAGTATAAATGAAATCTTGATAAAAGGGATTTGGGATATCGTTGAGAATGACAGTTTTAAAACCCCTTAGTTTGAAAGGAGATAGTAACTGTACAGATCTCGCTAATCTAATTAATACCTTAGACACAAAGACAGTTGCTCAGAATATCCAGAAAACTCTAGTGGAAGAGGAAAGTCTGCGGATTCTGAAGGCAAACTTGTAAAACAGTGTGTTTAGTAATAACAATATGTAGATCGTTATCTAATAATTAATACTAAACTAAGTACACTAACTAAGTACTTAACTGTCATACGTCTTCTGTATCTTTATTCATTTCGTAGGCGGACCATACTAAGTACGGTTTCAGTACACATACTTATTCAACGAAGGTCAAGCATTTTTGACTGGGCACTAGATAGTAACTGTCATGCATCTATCCCTTCGTTTGGTGCAGACTGAATTCTATCGGTTTAACTATATGGCTCGCCATGATGGGGCGTTCTGAATTGTTATTAGATGGCTGGAGGCAACAGTCAGGAAGCTTTGGACCTAGGTTTCGTGCTTGTCGGTAGTCGTCAGCAAGGCGTATCTACAACCTTGAGGGAACCCATGTCCCTTCTCAGGTTAGAACTCGTGTCACCCAGTGATGTAGTCAGAGATATTGCTACTGAATCCTACGACAACTTGACTAACAGATTCCAGCCTGAAACCAATCGAAGGACTAGGTGTATAATATTAGTTACTACCTGGCGTCCAGGCAACGTTTCTGTTAGGGTCCTACAGGAAGTCAATCACTAGCTCGAATAGCTCAGTTGTACGTCTCTGACTGCAGCTCTGGGTAACCCAGGTTCGAGACTCAGAAGGTACATAAGTTCCTTCAAGACTGCAAATATGACTTACTGACAAATCCCAGCAAGCACGAAACCTAGGTGTATAGCTTCTTGTCGACTGCTTCCAACCATCTAACAACAAAGGTCACATTTTCTAAACTGAATGCGTGAGATAGACTTCTTATCTTTTCTCTCTTAGGACCTACAGAATGTTGTGTAGCATTCACTAACTGCCCTATGTTCCACTGGGAACATCAAGGAATAAAAGAATATTTTATTAACAATATTTTCCAGAGTTTTTAAGATTCATGCTTTTGGGAAACTTTATTCCATGTATGCATTATTTAAAGCATTCTTCAGAATTTATATTTCACTGACAACAGATAAGTTTGGTAGATGTCTGAATCTAATCACTTGCTTGAAATAATAACAGAAGCTTACATTTTTCAAAAGAACAGTTACTGAACAAAGAATACTCTCTTCGATAGCCTGTTCGTCATCAGGTTATACAGTTATAAATACATAATAGTAAATGAATTAGTGTTATCAACAACATTAATGTTTAAATAACATTGAATCAATATTGATGATATCAATGGGTTGCAGTTCGATAGCATCAACATAACAATAAGCTGAATGTCAGAAAAATTAGGAAAGCTAATAATACAAATTCATAAATTTATAGTCTCCACTGAAGGCCAGCCAGGGCAGTAGTAGTGGCTAGACTTGCTTCTTTTGCACAAAAAGCACTGGTTGTTTCGAGCGAATCGCGATAGCCTCCGCTTTATGGAACATGAGATTCCTCGATGTTTTTGGCAATTTATTAGGCACTCGATTGATGATAGAGAGAGATTCTTCAATGCTGGTTTTGTGGCCGGTTTGGAACAGGGTGTCTAGTATCGAACTGTTGATGATTGTTACTACGCCTCTACTTAGCGATACTGGGAGATGTTCTTGAGCACGAAAAATTCAAGTTCCAAGAGCAGCGACCTATAAAACTCGCTCCACAAGCTCAGCTAAATTAATAGGCACAAATTTGGAGTGACTAGTCTATGTACTTCATCTTTCAATCGAGGAATCACCATCAGTCGTGTAGAAAATAAGACGTGTTGTTTACCAGAATTAAAAGTTCTCTGAACTGATTCAGAGTTATAATCTCTTAATTTTGGTTTTTACAGAGTTAAAATTTGTAATTGCCTTTTATAGTTATTTCGTTCATTGTTTCGATTTTATCCTAACATCACTCATTTAAGAATAATTTCTTTTTCTGGTTAAAATATCACAAACAAATAGAATTGTTTAGACAAAATTTCATAAATATTATATTTGTTTTTAAATTATCTTTTTTTTTTTTTATCCTAACATCACTCATTTAAGAATAATTTCTTAAGTTATTTATTTATTATTTTTTGATGTAATTACACGAATGTTTATTATAATAATTATAAGGAACGCTTTCGTTTATAAAATTACTTTGGGAACGCCCTGCTTTTTTTTAATAGGTAGGGAAAGGGTTGAGAAAGTTAAATCCTGTATACTTACGAATCTATACAGACACATTCAATGAGATTTAAGTATACATCTTTAGAGAAAAAAAAGTATAAGAGCGATTTAATGGGAAGTATTGCATGAACAGGTCGCAATATTTATGTATATATGTAGGTATATTCTTTTAGTAAAATTTAGGCAACATATTTACCTTACAGGACTAGTTGAAGAGTATACACAATATTCAATTCTATCCTTTTAATATGAAGATTTTTATCATATAAGTTAATGTTATGAGCTTTATACATTCAGAATACCAGTTTCAAATTATTAAATTCACTCTGCTCATTTTAGTTTAAATTGTAAAAGAAAAATGCATCTTAGAGTATATAATTAGAGACTGGTATTAATTAACACTACTGTTCTCTCCTACTTTTTTTTTTACTTTCAGTGTTTTTCAAACACTTAAGAAAATTTTTATCTTTCATTTGGCCATTATTTTTTATTCCTTCACGTTCCCAGTGGAACACAGGACTTCGAGCTAAAGCTTGGGAGTTTCAGTAGCAATGGTGTTTTTTTTCACGGGATAGGGTTGCTGGCCTCTTGCTTAAACTTCCCTCTTTACTAGTCTTATTACTGGTTAAGGTGTTCGTCTGCCGGGAATCGAAACCTGAAGCAGGTGCATAGTTGGTGAGCATTCTACCGCTGTGCAAACGACGCACAAACTTGACTAGAGCTTTTTTTAATGTACTTATAAAACAAATAAATATAAATATCATATATTAGTTATCATTATTTAGTCTCACTGTATTGCATTTACTAATTCTGAATGGCTTTTATCTTGTTATAAATCGTTAAGGTATGGATTTGTGAAAGAGCTGTCAAACAAATATCCTGTAAGATAATTTTTGTTCTTTAATAGTGTTAATTTACTATGTATATAGTTTTTTCTGTATGTTTAAGATAATTTCATTTGCAAAATTTAAAATTTTTTTAGTTTCCTGATCTTCACGAAACGCTTGATTTACCATCTTTTAATAGCTTCTAATCTATATTGCAGGGATTAATTCACTATGATGATTTGACAGTGAGTTGCTTGCTGGAATCTGTCTGATGTTCTCTGTCATCATTAAGATAAATGACGTGATAGAGTTTCATTGATGAACACTGATGATGAGTGGTAAGGTCTCTGATTTTGATACTAACTGACTTAAGTTCGAATCCCCAATGAAAAATGCTTTTCCTCAAATCTTAAGATAATTTTTGCTAATAAGTTTCAGTTGTCATGATGTCCGCGTTAGTGGATCCTTGATGGCAGTATGTGCATTAGAATTCAAGACTGTTGATAAGCGTCACCTTAAACGTGAACTGTGACAGTAATTATAAAATATAACTACATGAAATTACTGAAGGAAAACAGATGAAATAGCAATGTTAACATATTTCATGAAAGGAAAAATGAATTGGCGAAGAATATTTCCTGAAAGGTAAGTAAATAAAGAATTAAGGCACACAGATAAAAGAATTTTACCATCAGAGTCATTTCAAGTTCTATCACTAACTGATAACAATTAGAGAACCACTATTGATTGACTACAGGATAAGTTGTCTAAAGTTCTAGTAAGAAGTTATGACCAATGGGGTTCATCAGACACACACCAATGACATAGGCCGGCAGCGGCCCCAAAATCGTGAATTGATAGAAGTTAGAAATCGCGGGCCATATGATTCCTCCTGGTGCTTGGATGATCAGGTACTGGACCTGATCCCCAATGAGATTACAGTTGTGTGCTGTGAAGAGTCATAAACTAGGACGAAATAGCGGTCCAACACTTCTTACTGGTTTTCAATGGTTCTCCAACTGATGTCAATTAGCTATCAAATTCGAAACAAATCAAGCCACTACAAACTAGTACTTGAAAGTTATCCCGATTATTTTTCGCCGTTTTATCAAAAGGCAAAAACTAAATAAAGAGCTATGCAAATCCAACTATGTCGTTCTTTTCATTTCATTTACAGAAGGACAAGAAGAATTTAATTCATGTGTTTGATGAACTGTTTCGTGCCCTACCAATTGGAGCTATTATCAATAATACCATACTTATCTGTCATGGTGGCATATCAAAGCATACAGATATAAGAAAACTGAGGACGTTAAATAGATTTAAAGTGAGAGCTTCCTGTTTTTTTTTCTCTCTGCTAATTGAACACTTTATAACTCTTGAGTCACTAGTTCAGGGGAAACAGTTGTTATAAATTTATCTCCCACTAAACACTGATGAAAACACTTTTCCTTTAGTTGTATCACAAAATAGTGTCCAGTACTCATAATACTTACTTAAATGAATCTAAGCCCATGAAAGTAATGCTCGAATTAGTTTGCACTTACTGATGGACAAAATCTATTATACTTAAACATGCTCCTCCTCATTACCCTATACCAGGAAGTTAACTGCAATTTATTTTTCTATCTTTTAAGTAAATTGAATGACAACATGGCATCCAATTTTGAGGAGAACAGATACACCTGTCTGTTTATTGCTATGAAGAAATTTCTTGGCGCAATTGTATCCGTTATAGTTACAATATGCGTCTGAGTATCATTTCACCTTCATCTGGTGTAACATTACTCCCACTGATATAAAGCTGTGAAATAACAACTAAATAGAGATGGAATTCAGGCATATCAAAATGCATAAAAGGAACTTTTTGCTGATACGTCATATATTCTCACAAGATTCACATTAGTTCTAATTAAATATTTGTATATTTTAAAGAGTATTTTATTTGTTAGGTATCTGATTATGAGCAGCCTATTTTTTTATTCCTTCCTGTTCCAGTGGAACATAGGGCTTCAAGCTAGAGGCTTGAAGTTTCCGTAGCAGTGTTTATTTTTATTTTTACAGAGTGGGGTTGCTATCCTCATGCCCAACCCTCCCTCTTTACCAACTTTTATTTATGGTTTAGTGAGATAAAGGAGTTTGTCGGTCGGGGATCGAACCCCGGACCATGTGCATGGTCCGCGAGCTACCTAGCCGCTGAGCCACCAACGCACGATGAAGCACCTACTTTTAGTTATCTCCTGTCATTCCCTAAACGCTTTTCGTGACGTTCTAATAACAGGTACTTAAGACACAGAAACTTAAATGAACAGTAAATAACTTAATAATAACCATTTTGATGCCCCGAGAATGTTTTATCCACAATTTACAGCTTTTACATTAGACCTTAAAAGAGTATAGGATATTACGGAATCTGCAAGAAGAAGAAAAGGCTAAAAAGGGTTCAGAATGTGTTCTTGATTCCTAAAGAAGGATGATTCGATTATATGTGAACAGATGACGTTCTCATACCATACAAACAGAATAAATTTTAAAAAAAAGAAGACTCAGAAGAATTCTTTGTGAATCTGCAAAACTAAACACAGTATTGAAAACAGTAAAGACCCTATGATGGGCATATATAAAATTACCAGTTAAAACTATGCTGATAAGCACAATTTTCTAGCAGCTACGAATGCTTCAGGTACTACCAAATCGTGGGTAGAAATTAAGCTCAAAAGTTAACCAAACCACTGAAATCAAGAATCTTGGAATTCATAGTATATGAGAAAACATGTTTAGCAACATGTTTTGTTGTTTTCTGTTACTTTATTATAAAAACCCACAAACTATGATCATAAGTGAATAGTTTTACAACAGAGCTTTTGTCAACTCCACAGTAAGGTAACTGTTTACTCTAATATTCATTTAGACTCAAAACATTTCTATAGTTGGTTTGTAAGGGTTAGTTTTGCTTTTTACGAGTTGGCTGCGGTCGCGCTAAATCACGAATTGGTAGAAGTTAGAATTCATGGAGCGGCTATTGAATCAGGTCCCAATGGGTGAATGGTATATGAGCTTACCTTGTAACCAGAAGGTTCTGTGTTCGAACCCCAGTAGGTGCGCACTGCCGATGATTCCCAAACTAGACTGACGAAACAGCTGTCCAGTACTCCTTGTTTCTCAGTGGTTCTCTAACTGATATCAATCCACGATCAACTCCTAAAAATCAAAACATTTCATAAAGTGACCACGCATTTCAATATTATACTAGATTATTGTAATTACATAACTTTCGAGATATTTTTTTATGAGTTGGCAGCAGTAAAACTATGAATACTTTCTCCATTTCTTTTATTTCTTTACTGAAGCTTTCTTCAATCCTACAGCCTTGTTTGGATGGTGATGACTGCGTAAATTTAGATGACTGGCAACAGGTATGTAATTCAATGAATTTTTATAAATTATTTGTAAGAAATAAATAAACAGCCACTAAGATATTTCTCAGATTTTCATTCCCATCTGGTTAATAATAATAATAATAATATGTCGAATCTGTTCAAATCTTCTCATGTATTTATCTTTTTCTCATTAGGCTTTAGATTTATTATGGAGTGATCCTCAAGATAAAGATGGTTGTCGACCAAATTGTTTTCGTGGAGCAGGATGTTATTTTGGTTCTGATGTGACTAAAAAGTTTCTGGAGACAACAAATCTTTCAATGATTATTCGATCACATGAATGCTGTATTGAAGGCTGGCGTACATGTCATTCAGGCAAAGTGTTAACATTATTTTCATCATTTGACTATTTTGCACTACGCAGTAATAAAGGCGCATATGCTCGTATTACTGTTGTTGATTCCAGCCAAACATTTCTAACTGATTTAAAGGCTGTTATATCACTTTGTCCAACAAATAATCTGTCTAAAAATCAACAATCAGTACCAGTGGACATCTATGTCAATGTTTTTATTATTGATGATTCAGAAAGTCATTTATCGAATAATAGTAAAAAGTAAGATTTTTAATATTGTATTATTATTATATCCTTTAATTCCTAGAGGAACATAGGGCTTCAGTCGCGCGTCTCCATTGCCTTCGGTTTTCTACCAACCTCTTCACCCCGCTCCAAGTCTGCACACATGCTTTCATTCCCTCTTCACATGACCTCCACCAAGTCTCTCTCTCATGGACGACCAACCCGCCGCTTCCCTTTCGGGCTCCACTCGAGCGATAGCTTGTCTAGTGATGTCACTTGGTGGTTTCCTCAGAGTATAGCCGATCCATCTCCATTTCTTCCTGCCTATTTGTTGCACAATTAGTTTCTGCTAGGTTCTTCCGCTCCCAGAGATCCCTCGCTATTGCTGATCTTTTCTGGCCGGCCACTTGATCTTGAGTATTGAGTGCAGACAGCTGTTGATGAAGGTCTGTAGTTTGTTTGAGATGCTCTTTATGACGCGCAGTGCAAGTCTCTGATCCATATAGTAGCACTGACTGACTTCACATTGGAGTTGAAAATCCGGATCTTATTTTTGATGCTGAGTGGGGCTGTTGACCTCCACATATACTTGAGAGTAATGCAAGCTTGTCTTGCTTTCCCTATCCTCGTTTTGATATCCTCGTCAGTTCCGTTCGCCTGTAGTTGAAACGATGCTTCCCAGGTAGGTGGGTTAAGGAGGTCGTTTCTTTCAGGTTCCTCCCATTTATGCTGGCTGATGGTTGTCTGTTGTTGTTGTTGCTGTTGATGTTGGCTAGGAATCTTCATCATCTCTGTTTTATCTGTGTTCACGTGAAGTCCTATCTTTGATGCTTCTTCTGCCAACTTGTTACTTTTCACTTGCATATCTTCCAGTTTGTGGGAAATCAGACATATATCATCGGCGAAGTCCAGATCCTCCAAGTTATCTGTGTGAGTCCATTTTATACCTGTTCCCTCGTTGGTTGCCGTTGTCTGTCGCATTATCCAATCTACTGCAATCAGGAAGATCATTGGTGATAGTAGACAGCCGTGCCTCACTCCCGTCCTCATTCGAAGGCTTCCGTAAGTTTCCCGTCGTGGATTACTTGGCATGCAGCATTGTCGTATAACTGTTGGATGAGATGTATAATTCTCGATGGCACCCCACAGTAGTAGCGAAGTAGTTGCCAAATGACCTCTCGATCTACGCTGTCTCAGCATACCACAAACTTGCTCTGAAGTATTTTAATACTCCTTAGTGTGAATCCAATATTTGTATTTAATCAAAAGTGAATCACAAGTACTCTGAATATATTCACTGTCGTTCTATTTTGTTCAGCGAAGAAATTTCTTTTCAATGACTTCATTTTCAAGCTGTACAGTCGTATTTATATTACAGAAAAAGATTATTAAGTGGCACTAAATAATTGCTCAGTCAATATAAGTATATATATGTGATTAGAATAACCATAATTAAAATGTTATAAGGGTAGAGTTGAAGTGGATAAATTACAAAATTATTAAAGATTGTTTTATAAGTGAATTGATTTCAAAAATGTTTTAAATGTCAAGTGTTGTCTAAAAATTATATAATCAACAAAGAATCCGTTTCTAGACATATCACAGTGCCAAAGAAAAAACTGTTTATGAGTCTGGCATTCAAAGGTGTGTCACCTTTGATTAAAAATCGTTTATCTAAATGTATTAAACCCACTTTTCCTGCAGCTGACTTGCAACTAGTTTTTTACCAGCCGAAATATGATTAGACATTGCGTCAAGGATAGATTACCGCTTTTGTCCACATCTATGTGTATTTACTCTTTTACCTGCTCATGTCGAGCTGGTTATATTGGATGTTGTAAGCGTAATCTCCAAAAACGTGTAGCTGAACACTATCCGGTTTGGTTAATGAAAGGCGAACATAGAACTGCAAAATCGTCTATTCGTGATCACCTGTTAGAGTCTGGTCATTGAACCCCACGTGATTCATCTTTCAAAATTATCTACATGGCAAAATCGAATCGATCCAAAAGTTTACGTTTTCTTCACTTATGCATAGCCGAAGCTTTAGCTATACATGAACAGAAACCTAAATTATGTGTTCAAAAACGTTTTGTCAAACTCCTTTCTTTACCTTGGTCATAGTAATGTTCTTTCTAGTTTTTATTTTATTTTACCACTTGAATTCATTCCACTTCACTTCACATCTTTATTCTTGTCGTAATCGTACTTCTAATTTTTAAAATTTTTAGACAACACTTGACATTTTTGATGTCATGAATTGGCAGAAGTTAGAATTCAAGGACGATTGGATCGGGTCCCAGTGGCTCAATGGTATACGAGCTCGCCTTGTAACCAGAAGGTCCTGGGTTCGAATCCCGGTGGGTGCGTACTGCTGAAGAGTCCCAAACTAGGACGAAACAGCTGTCCAGTACTCCCAGGTTTTCCAGTGGTTCTCTAACTGATGTCAGCTCATGATTCAATCCTCCATGCAATCTTAAATAATTTTGTAATTTATCCACTTCAACTCTACCCTTATAACATTTTAATTATGGTTATTCTAATCACATATATATACTTATATTGACTGAGTTATTATTTAGTGCCACTTAATAATCTTTTTCTGTAATATAAATACGACTGTACAGCTTGAAAATGAAGTCATTGAAAAGAAATTTCTTCGCTGAACAAAAAAAACTGTTTTTACTTATGAATAAATGGGTATTTTTCGTGATATATTCACTACGCAAGTCACGGCTACCCGGTGAGGTTTTTTTTTGTCTGAAGCTATTTGTACCTTGGATCAATTATTTTGGTCTGTCTGTCTGTTTTCGAAATAGAACTTTGTACTGATGTGCAACAGTGCAAGTCACCACACTCCCTCCATGTAGCACACAGAACAAGAGAAGAAAGTAGAAGAAATGCATACTAGAGACAGTAAACAGAGGTGTGAGACAAAGGAATAGTAACAACGAAGAACGGTATAGTTTCATTGGAAATAACAAGTCACAAGGAGTGGATGCATCTGCGCATGTGAGAACGAATTTGGAGGTATGAAATCCTCCCTAATCATTGATTCGATACGAATACATATGTAAATAGCAGTAAAATAACTACTTAAATGCCAAATAATATTCCAAACAATTTGAACTAACCAATAAATCCCCTGTGGAAAAAACTCCACACAGCTCCCTCTCTTTTGAGTTTTGTTCCGATGATATCACTTAGAATATCAATGAAAGGTTCATTATTTATGTATGCAGATTGAATGACGCAACACCAACAAAAAAGTAGCGTTCGTCCACATTATGAAAAATCTCTAAAATTGATTTTGATCAACTTTTTTTATTTTCTTGTGCTGCCGGTAATGAATTTATAAGTTCTGGAATGTTTTTTATTAAGGAATATTCTGAAAATCAAAACACGAGTTATTTTTTTCCTATGTTACAAATAAATAGTCATATCTGAAGCTTAATCAGTCCTTGATTTGTAAACTATACATTCAACTTTCATTGACAAAAATTCACCTTAAAGTGTTTATCTAGCGAATGAAATGTCAATCATTCACGCGGAGTGAGAGAAAATAATCCATTGGAAATTTATATTTTGCATGAAGAATTCAAAAAAATATCTTGGATACTTGACCCTTTTATGTCTTCTCTATTTTATCAATTTACTACCTTTTGACTTTTCAATTTCAGGTCAGATGATTTAGTTAATACATCTTTTATATGTTTATGGCAACGTATAATTCGTTGGAAAGAAAAACTCATGGAACGTTTCAGTGAAGTAGACCTTGAAAATTCAGGTGAGGATAAAGTTCTGTCTCTGTTTCTCGATGCTTAGTTTTAGCACTGCAAAGACGATATTTTAAACTGATTGAAATGTTTTTTAAGCCACTAATTTATCCACAGACCATAATGATGTTATAAAGATGATTACTAAATCCTCATGGAAATCAAGTTACCAGCTGATGGGACTGAATTGAAGATACTCCTATAAATTAACTAAATTGAAGGGAAAAAACTGGTCACGTATAAATTATCGTCTGCATAATATCTAATCAACACTACCTTATATGCAAAGGTGTGCTTCAAAATAGTGGGACGAAGTTTTAACCGTTGTTCAGCTAGAATGAAAGTTAAGGTGATTCAGCTAATAATCGATTCTTATCATACAATCTATAATGAAAACTCTTAATATATCAGAATGACCTAACATACTGGACATACTCCTTTTTGCTTGCACACTAGTCAGTAACTAGTGTAATGTGTCAAGCCCTATCTTCGCTGCAGACTGAATTCTATCAGTCAAGCTCAGTGGTAACGTCTCTGACTGTAGCATTGGGTGACGCGGGTTCGAGTCTCAGAAGGGACATGAGTTCCTTCAAGGTTGCAGATAAGGCTTGCTGATGAGTGCCAAATAGCACGAAACCTAGGTCCAAGGCTTCCTGCCAATTGCCTCCAACCATCTAATACTGGATATACTGGCTAGATTTTCAAACATTTCGTCACATGTAATTTATGCAATGAAAAATACCCAGTGATGTAAACCTGATTATCAGTTCCTACCTTCTACTATGCCTGCCTAGATGACAAAACCAAAAGCGTAGACCAGTATTCATTTTAGACTATAAACAAGTAAATAATAGAATTTTTCAGATATAGCACTAAGTTTTCTAAAAACACTTTCTACAAGTCTTCGCTACAATTAATTTAAATTAGCACTTAAATCACAAGGAAGCTGTGTCAGATAATCATTATAATGAAGGTTTTTGCATTTCCCAATGAATGAAAAACAAAACAATATTGTTTTTACTGATATTTCGCTATTTAATGCTGCTAATAGCTTTATCAAAGTATTATACTGGAAGTATTTCAACCCACTGCCTTCTTCTTTTTACCTCCTGCATTAATCTATTGATACGAGGTAAGATAAGGTAGTCGCTGAGCCTTTACTTTAATAATTTTTATTTTTTTATTTTTGATTTACAGCTTGATTCCACACTGTATTTTGGTACAGGTATGGAATTTTCAGCATGGATATCGGTAGCCCAAATTTTGTAGGCCGACCATAGATATCAGGTGTGCGTCGGTGCGGGCTCGAACCCGGGACCATGTGCATGGTCGGCGAGAGTCCTAACCACTGTGCCATCGACGCAGCATTAAATAGGGAAACATCGGTAAAAACAACAATATAGTTTTGTTTTTCATTCATCGGGAAATACAAAAACCTTCATTATAATGAATATCATATACCCAATACCCAATTTTTTTTCAGTATGTCAGATAATATTGTAGATTAAACATAGGCTTACTTTGATTATTTATTATTATTATTGTTCCATTGGGTTCCTAGTGGAACATAGGGCTCCAACTCCACGTCTCCACTCGCTTCTGTCTCCTGCTGTACTTTTCATCTGCATCCATGTTAGTTAGTCCATACTGTTTCAACTCCTCTTCACACGATCTCCTCCATGTCACTCTTGCACTGATGTCCCACTTGCCGCTTCCCTTTCAGGTTCCACTCGAGCGATGTCACCCAATGGCCTCCTCAGCGAGTGTCCAATCCATCGACCTCCACTTTCTCCTGCATATTTGTTGGTTCGTGTTTTGTTTGTTCCCAGCCATAGTTTCTTGTTGGTGATTCTTTCCGGCCCGGCCATCTGATCTTCAGTATAGATCCAGCGAGGACAATTGTTGATATAGGTCTGCAACAGGCTGTTGGAAATATTCTTTGTGACCCGCCAGCCCGCCAAGTTTTTGATCTGCATAGAAGAACTGACTGACTTGACGTTTGTATTGAAAATTCGACCGAATTTTGTTGTTGATGCTGGCTGAGTGACGAAGATCTCCAGGTTGGTTTCAGTTGGTTGATGAATGTGTTTCTCGCCTTCCCGATTCTCGCTCGATTTGACATCCTCGTCCGTTCTGACTGGCTGTAGTTGAGACAATGCTCCCTAGATAAGTGAGTGAATGAAGTGACCTCTTTCAAATCCCTCCCGTTGATGGTGATTGGTGCTGGATGTTGGTGCTGTTGTTGTTGTTGTTGACTTGTTATTTTCATAACCTCCGTGTTGTCTATGTTCACTTGGAGTACTGTCTTCGCCGACTGCTTCCTCGACCAGTTTGTCGGTTTTAGCTTGTGAGTTTTAGATTTTGTGTGACATCAAACATACTTTGATTGGACACTAGTAACTAGTGTGATGTGTCTAGGCCTTTGTTTGGTGCAGACTTAATTTTATCTCCTATAGGCTTGCAATGTAGTCACCATTTTAGGTAACCCGCTATCACGATGCACTTTGAATTGTTGATATTAGATGATCCAAGGCTTCCTGTCAATTACCGCTAACCAACTAATATCAATTAATACAGGTGTATCAAAAATAAGACACGCGAAATTTATGTGAACCATATACGTTTTCAATTTTTCTCGTTGTATAATTCACTTCTTTTCAGTAGTGATGAAACACAACAAGTTGATAAAGTAGATTAATTGCCGCCAAATAAAAAACTACTCAAACGTTATTTGTATCTTATAGATTGCAGCGGTGAGAAACAATCCAGTAATCTACTCTTAGGGCAACCAGTATAGCATGCTGATCGCTATATAAAACTGTTGAACTGACATTTAGATACTCTTCGGTTTTCCAGTATACACAACATTTCTGAACTTCTAAAAGTATGTATCTGACCTGAAACAAGATGGAGAGGGGTTAACCTGCCGCGTTAAACTAGCAAATCAGAATTGCTTTTCAACTTTTACGGGCTCCGATAAAAGAGGAAGACCCATAATGAACTACAAATCTTTACTATTATTTAAAAACAGCCATGTTTTATTTAGACATAGTTTAACCTTGCATAGTCATTCAGTGTGTGTACGCTGCCTTAGAACAGAAACTGGAGCAAAGTTGGTTGGTTCATTCGACTCTGCTTATCAGATATTCATTCCCTAAATTATCTAAGACTACTTAGATACATTTTACAGCCCAATGCAAGACTTAATTCTTCTCTTAAAGCTTACTTATATCTGCATAGGTTTATCAAATGTTCTTAGTGATATGCCTCACTGGAAGGAGAACTCTACAAGCATATTACCTTTCTAAGATCCGTATTGTTGATTAATATTAGTTACTGCCTGAAATTAAGCTGTCGATTTGTAACTATTCTGTACTGCTATTTGATCTGTGACAACAGGTGAAATGGCTGTACAGATTTACCGCTTCCTTTAAGTGGGGAGTCGTACCAGTTGATAACGATTAACAGCTGTTAAAATACACATGGCATATGGTGCCGGAAAGATGTCTGGTCGCCCATTGAAGATAAAGTGCATGATACAATAATCTTACTTTCTTAGTATATAACGACGAAACATAATCACTGGAGATTAAGGGCTTGAGAAGAATTCAGGTAATTCCATATAAATTAGTATACTGGATACATCACATTCCAGGTGTTTTACTTCATGGTATCGTCTACTTCCTTCGAGACTATCTTATCAACTTTGCAAACTTTAATATATAAACTTAGAAGGCGGAAATAAATCAGTTGGTGAGACTGTGAATTTTTTATCAAGTCACGCAACTGGGTTACCATTGTTAAATCCAAACCCACCCTACATTCCAATGTTAACCGGAGGAGAAATATGATTAAGGAAAGAAATGGGTGATGCTACCAATATGTAGCACCAATGCTGTTAGTTTTCAACTGTTGATGTGTTATAAAAAGTTACATCAACTAATGAGGATTAGGCAAAACAAGTAAAACCTATAGATGGCAACTGAGGCGTTTGCTTTAGAATAAGTCATGTTGGCACAAATGTATTCAAATCTCATCTTCATTCAAATTTCAGCAATATTTCCTCGTATCACTGTTATTTTCTCCTTGTTTCATTGTCTTTTGACTTCCACTATAAGTAGTTTAACCCATTGCATTAATCTATTGATATGAAGTAAGATAAGGTAGTTGCTGAGCCTTAATATAAATCCCCATGTCTGGTGATTAAACCAGATAAAAATTTACTGCCCGTCTGAGCTTTACCTATCAAATTTTTCTTGTCTTATGGATAATTTCAACATGCCTAGGTGTTCATATTACCAAACGCAAAGTGTCACTGGTACTGTCTCTCATTTAATACCTTATCAACGACTGCCCTACAATTTCAAATAAATATTTATATGTGAAATATGGTTGCCTTAGCTACCCAATACACTAAACAGCAATGGGAAACAAAAAGAAATAATTTACAGGCAGCGCCTATCTATTTTATGTAAAGAGAAATAAAATGCAACAAAACAAAACCAAGCGGTACAGTGTTATCATATTTTAATATCAACCATATTTTACATAATAGCAATATAAGTTACCGAAAAACTAAGTGTTTACTCTCGTTTAATGGAGTTCATCTATAAAAAATGAATTCGGTTTCAGTGAATTTAATGCAGAAATCTCTATTGTTTATTACTAAGGTAACTACTATATGGTAAAAGACTGTACTATCCACAGCAAAACTATAATATGTAGAATTTTTCCGTTTGAAGAGTACTTATTGAGTTCGTTTCCCCTATAGGTTTGAATAATGGAAAAGTATTTGAAAAATAATGATAATAATAATAAGTCCAGCTAAAAAAAAGCAAGTGATAAATATCATTCAGTGAAATAGACTTTTTAAGCTTTGTATGAGATGATGAATGAAAGAACCCTTGTTTCATTCCGAGACAAATAGGTAAATATTCTATAATAAGCTTTTGAAGGCTGACATACTGCTAACATACTGAATTAACTCTGCATTCAAAAGAGAAATCAAGTTAGTCCAGGTGTGTTAAAGCCACCTAGTAAAGTTACATCTGTTTACTTATTAGTTATCGAAAACAAACTTAAAACCTTTTTTCTATAATTTGGTTTGTATGGGTTAGTTGTGTTTTTACGAGTTGATCACGGATTGATATCAGTTAGAGGTCCAGTTAGATGTCACGTATGCGGATGGATGTCCCACCAACGACAATGGTTGGAGTCGCGCTAAGTCACGAATTGGTAGAATTTAGAATCAAGAGAGTGGCCACTGAATCGGATCCCAGTGGCTGAATGGTATACGAGCTCATCTTGTAACTGGAAGGTCCTGGGTTCGAATCGCAGTGGGTGCTTACTGCCGATGATTCCCAAACTAGGATGAAACAGCAGCAGTCCAGTACTCCCTGGCTTTCAATGGTTCTCTAACTGATATCAATCCGTGATCAACTCGTTAAAACCTTCTTAACAGAAGTAAAGAATAAGCAGTTGTATTTATTATCAAGTGATATGCTTCTCTGAATTGCAGATTATTGAGAAAACACCCTTCTGCGTGTTTCTTTTTGCCTTATGACTCGTTTTTTGGTAAATGCAATTTCAAAGTTCCATATTAACAGCACTTGTTAGCTACTGGATGTCTTAGAATGCAGTTTACGCAATAAGCTGAGCATCCAAATGCATCTCACTCCTTAAAGCATTCATTGATTCTCCCCGTACATCCATACTGCCTGATGGTAAACTCCTTCAGATCTCCTACATTGTCTCTTCTCTTAAGAATTTTGATTACTGTCGTATGGGCATTCTGAAAGAGTAAAAAGCTTTCTATTTTTTTCATCTATTTAGAAAAAGAAATAACAATAAAAGTATTTATCTCGATTATTCATTTCTAAGGTGTTACAACTGTAATTGTGTTCAGCAGAAAATTCATTTAAACCCATTAGATAATGTCAGTTTATTCCCCAAGTTGGCTGCATAAACTTTTTTCCTTGTGGGTTTGGAAGGACTTTCTTGGGTATTTGAGCTACGATTTCACCACTGAACTCAAAACCTTTGTCCTGGACAGTTCAGGCCGCTTGTACTTGAAAATTTTTCAAATTCTACATTCGACAAAGCTAGATGAATATTCGTTTTCTGAAAAGATGTTATATTAAGATTCCAGTTCACTTTCTAGTGAATTTATAAAGAACCTATCGAATTTTTTAAAATAAAAAACATTGTTTTTTTCTTGATCAGTTGGATATGGTTTTGTAAGCAAATAAACATCTTAGTGAGCCTTTTCGCCAATATTGAACGTTGGACGAAATCATTCGGTCTCCGACTAAGTAGCATGTTACGGTTGAAAAGTTCAGCTTAACAAATTTTCTGGAATAAATATAAGAAAAGAATTCGGCCACTGTTATAGACCATAATTCCTATTATGGCTGACTATGTTTTTAATTGTGGTGAGCTGGATTATGCGTCAGACTGGGGGAGTGAGGAGTCAGGAATACGCTGGACCACTGATAAGAAGACTCCAGAATATCTGAATTTCGCAGATGATATATTTCTGATGTCACACAAACTCGAAGACTTGCAGGCGAAAACCAACAAACCTGCAGAAGAGGCTGTTAGCGAAGACACCACTGCAGCTGAACATGGAGAAGATAGAGGTGATCAAGATAATCACCAAACCGTAACAACAACAACAACCAGCATCAATCACCATCAACGGGAGAGATTTAACAGAGGTTACCTCCTCCACATATCTTGGAAGCATCGTCTCAACCTCAGGAAGTCGGAACGGATGATGTCAAGGCCCGCATGGATTGGAAAGGTAAGATACGCCTTCATCAACCTGAAAGCAGTTTGGAAATCTTCTGGACTCCGCGTAATAAATAACAAGATTCGGATTTCCAACACCAATGTGAAGTCAGTCAGTTCTTCTTTACGGATCAGGAACTTGCGCTTGCTGTGAATCACAAGAAGGATTTCTAAGAAGACGCAAATGTTTATCAATAGCGGCTCGCTTCGGTGGCTGACTCCATAGCGTAGGCCGGATGGCCAGCGGGTCAGAAAGAGTTAGCAACAAGAAACTGTGAGAACGACCCGACCACACCCGATTGCGCAATAAATATGTAGGAGAAAATGGAGATGGGTCGAGCACATGCTAAGGAGGCCGTCGAATGACATCGCGCGCCAAGCCGTCACTCGAGTGGAATCCCATCGGGAAGTAGCGGTTCGTCGGTGTGAGGGTGACATGGAGGAGATTGTGTGAGGAAGAGATGAGAGAGTTTTGGCAATCGTGGACACAGCTGAAGAGGGTAACAGAAAAAAGAAGAAAGTGGAGATGTGTTGTTGGAGTCCTATATTCCACCCGGAAACCAAGGGAATAATAATATATGATGGCACTGACATAACTTTTAAATTTTGTTTATACAAATCCATCATTTCTTATCCTTTGATTTCATTAGAAGTAATATTTTCCACATATCTGATACTGGCGTAGCGTCATTACTTTTGCATATGATAGCTGAAACCCTAAGTAGGATTCCTAATAAAGCAAGAATTAGGGCGGCGTCTAGATAAACAAACTGATCCAAATACAAGCTCTGTAGGCTGAGGAATACTACTGACTCAATCAGGCAAAATAATTTAATCTACAGAATACGTTACAATCACGTAGTTGTATATGAACTATGTGGTTTTAATTGAACGGACCCTTGTGGAGAAAGAAGAAATACCTCGAAATTGATTTTGTCTTTAGAACACACCGATGTATTTTACTGATTTGACGAGATAAAAGGTATCTCAAAGAATATATCTTCCCTAATATCACCTATCCATCTGTCATTGTGACGATATGGAGAGTTTATTATATCAGTGATGGATTAAAGTTGGACATCCTTTTTCAGCAGTTTGCATAGTGTTGGAATGCTTGAGTCACATGGCTTTGTTTAGGCAAAATCTTTTGAAGTTACTGTTGATTAACCTTTTGTTTTCTTCATTAGTTTTGTGATAAAATCTGCAGTTCTTTCGCTTGCCTTTCTGTGTGAATAATTTGCAAATTTTGGTCTTTTCTGACTGTAAGTTTGTCAGTCTATTGATATAGACAGATGTATTCATGAATAAAATCACTAAGGCTTCTTGCAGACTAACGAAGACTATATCTAAATTTCTCTTGAGTTGTTTTAGCTACTGACTCTATTTTTTTTTAAGAGGCAATAATGACATTATGGTCTATTATGTGTTTCTGGTAATTATTTGGGAGTGAAGCTCCTAATTTCTCAAGAAAGCTTTCGAACCCTATGTCAAAGTGTGTCTAACAGGTGAGGATCTCAAGCTGAATTTCAATCAGGAGTTCATCCACTAGTTGGTTCACTTTGAAGAATTACCTGCCGTGAATGTAAATAGGCTTCTTAGGAGATGATCGCAGAAGTGCAGACGATTTTAGACCCTTCGTGACCTTTGAGCTGTCGAAAAGATAATATTCGTCAATTGGTTACTGTTATCAGCATGAGTAGAACGGGTTAAAGACACGTTTAGATTTATTACAAGTAAAAAATATGTTTTCGACATCCTAAATAATAAATGTTGTATTCTGTAAACTTTGTGAATAACAAAGTTGTTTTCACTGGAAATGAATAGCATCTTCAAAAGTCATTAAAACCAAGAAGCACTGAACAGCGGTTTCATCCTACTTTGCGATCATTCTATCATTCAAACCAACGGCCTGTTGAAAGACCAAAAATGAAATGAGCAAGTTCCTGTTCACCTACCAAGTAGGAATTCTGTGGCCTGTAGCTTAGTCATTTTGTTATGCATGGTAATATTAACTTATGGTTTTTGTACTACTTTTAAATTTTCAGATTAATTTTCCATTTCCTGTTGGATCTAAATACTTGATGTCTGTTGACACAATGGATCCTATTACAGACGCTTCGGCGCTGAGTCAGGATTGATGTGAAGTTTTCTTGGTTGACGGTGACTAGCAATGGAACCAGGATGCTCATTTCGCCCTACTTTTGAGAAGGACTCCCGTCTTAGTTGGAATTCCATCACTCACTTGGAATGCTGGTACATCCAGTTGAAGAGTTCCAAGTAGTATGAAATGCGCATCCTGGATTCCAGGGCCAGTCATCACCAAACAACATACTTTTGAGTTCACTTATTCTGTGGTTCTCCTAAAGTAACTCTGATAATTTAACAAGACATTACTTAGTTTAAATATTCACTTTGTTATAAAATTTCACATATTACATTTTTTGCATTAAATATTATAGATAATAACAAGCACTGTATAACTGTCTTTCTTATTTGACCGTATTTAAAACTTCTGTCTTTTAATCATAACTTTGCTTAACATAGGTGTGATTCCACTTGCTGAATGGTGCAACATAATGTCTTCAGTAACACAGTTAAAGCTTTCATGGCGTTGTCTACGTTCTTTTCTAGTAAAACAATCAGCTAATTGTGTTAACAAAGTTATTTACAAATCTATGTTTGCAGGCAACTGTGTTACACATCCTGAACTTTCGGTAAGATTTTTAAATTTGCTTTATAATAAGGCTTTGATAATTTGAATTAAAGAAACATTTTTATAAATGTATTTTTATTATTCACTCAGTACATCGCATCTTGAAGATATTGTGGAACCGAGGTTTCAATTCCATTCGATCCTCTAAGATTCATATTTCTAAGAATATATTCCATAAAGAGTCTTTACAATGTACTTCTTTTGCATATACATGCAAACTGAAATTTACACTTGGGGATACTTATTTGTCTTCTCTAGTTCTCATCACTGTGTAAAGTAACTTAAAAATTTCACGCTGATAAGTAAAGTTTTTAATCTACATTTGATGCTGTCTATCATATGGGCATTTTTAAAACTAATCTGTTGTACATAGCTATTTCTGCAGTTTCGTTCATTTCAGCTATTTTAACGAAAGTACTTCTTGACTTTTGCATAATCTTCTGGTTAATCCGTCGACTGTAATATCCTGAATGTGTGGTACAGTAGTATAAGAAGACCTGGTTATTAGCTAAGTGGTAGTAAACGGTAGAGGCTAAAATTTGTTCACTGGAAGTTTCTTTTCAGCAACTAATTTCCTTGTACGTCTTCTCATTACACTGCCTGACATTTAACTCCTGGAAGTGAACGAAGTCTTTATTCCCCTAGTCTATTGCGAATTGTGTGCTATATGCTAAATTAAACTCTGGAACGGAGTATTTGCTGACTTATGCTGTTAAACACATGGAATTCATTACCTGCCATGAACGGCACAAAATGATTTTTCTTGCAGTGACGTAACTAAGCTAACTTTTCATTCTTAGCGTTAATATATATGATTAACTCCTCATGTTCACATAATCTTCTTGACAGTACAGTTTGTTGTAAGACGGAAATTAAACATTTGTGATAAAAGACATTAGAAACCATTTCAGCTGTGTTTACCAAAAGCATTTCCAACCTGTTGCAGAACTTATTCAGCAGTTGGCTTCTCTTCATACTGAAGATCAGATGGCCAGAAAAGATAAGTAACAAAAAGCTATGGCAGAGAGCCTATTACCCAACAAATATTCAAAAGGGAATAGAGGCAGACTGGAAATACTCTGAGGAGACTGTCAAGTGATACCATATGCCAAACCCTTAAGTAGAGCCCTAATCGGAAGTGACGAGTATGATATGACCCAAGAGTGATATCGAAGAGATTGTATGCAGAGTAAATGAAAGCTTGTAGGCATTTGTGAACCCTGCTAAGAATGGCGACAAAGAACAGAATACAACAGAGATAGGGTACTGAAGTTCAATTCCCCTCCAGGGAACCAAAGAAATAAATAATAATAGTGAGTTGCGATTTGCGGAGCAGAAATACCCTGTGAAAAATAATTGTTGAATACAATGACTATCTCATTTTTAAAGAATGTTAATTAATATTCAAATGTATGGCAGAGGAAACTGTTAGTTAGTTAAATATGTCTAGTCGATCTACTTCTCCGAGAACTCAGGGATAACATTCAAACTATGTACAGCTATTTTTTCCAGATTAGCTCCAATTTACTTATTCAGCAGAATATTAGTTTAAGCAAGGGAGATGTAGTCAATAAACAACTGATTCATACATTTTTGTCTAACCGTATGTGAATGATGGTCGCCGGCCTTGTTGTTTTACATTATTTCGTATTTGTTAATGACTTTCATTTCTAACAGATTTCTAAGTTGTCAGCTTTGTTTCTGTTTGTGGTTGTGAATTTCTCATTACTTAACCTTTCAACTTTGACCCTACATAAATACTTCAGAACCAGCATCATTCATTCTTCGAATATAACCAGATTTGTTATGCCTCTGAATAAAATATCTTGTTTCCGAGAAGCCGTCTGATTTTCTTGCTGTAGTTCCACTTACACTATCTTAATTGAAATCCATAGATTACATCAAATATGTTTTACTCTGATCTAAACAACTCGTCACAAAGGCGTACACTGGATATAGTTTTTGATTTATCACGTGAATCAAGGTACCTTACCTTCAGTATAGGATTTTACTGCACAATGTTTAACTCTTCAGAGTATATTACTAGCTTTTATTGAATACATAAATAGAAATTTGTTTGAAGAAAATGGTTAACAGGATTCCAATCACATTAATTCCTAACCTACATATATTTGAGCATTGTGGATATTCGTTTCTCAAGTAATTGCGTAATTCAAGGAAGATTTGCAAGTATTGGTTTGTACGGATTTGATTGCTTTCAGGATTTCATCATGAGCTGACATTGGTTAGGGGGTCATTGGAAAACCTGGGAGTACTGGACAGCTGTTTCGTCAGCCTAGTCTAGGACTCTTCAGCAGTACGCACCCATCGGGGTTCGAACCCAGGACCTTCTGGTTACAACGCGAGCTTGTATAACATTAAGCCACTGGGACCCTATCCAATGGCCCATAAATTCTAACTTCTGCCAATTCACGATTTAGCGCAACCGCTAGCCAATGTCTTCGGCGAGTATTTGTCCTCAAACCCGACCTGCTGCACCCTACTGGTCACGACTTTCTATATCTTGAATCGGCAGAAGTTAGAATTTATGGGCCATTGGATAGGGTCCCAGTGGCTTAATGTTATACAAGCTCGCGTTGTAACCAGAAGGTCCTGGGTTCGAACCCCGATGGGTGCGTACTGCTGAAGAGTCCTAGACTAGGCTGACGAAACAGCTGTCCAGTACTCCCAGGTTTTCCAATGACTCCCTAACCAATGTCAGCTCATGATGAAATCCTGTAACCAATCAAGGAATATTTGTAAAACAACACACAGAGAATCAGTAATCTGTTTCCTATTTTCACTTAAACAGAATCTAAACAAAGTGGATAAAAGCTAACAATTAATGTGAAGAATTAAGTCTTTAATTGTGTTGTGTATTTCATAAATAAAATATATAATTCATTAACAAAAGCACAACGATAAATTTCGTGCAGAGCTTTGCCAATTATCATTATATAGGTATAGTAAACTCTTTTGTCCACGTTAGCTTCATCGATTTTCGTTTATGATTTACTCAGGGGAAAGAAGTGCATCAAAATGAAAACTTAAGCCTTGTGCATAGTTTAAAATTCAAGAATATTCACCGAGGATAGTAAATGTTTTTTTTCCAAAAATTAACTGATACTGAAGTATTCAGGTTAAAAGAATTTTAGTTGTTGTGATGTCGACTTTTGAACGTATACTCAGATTGCTTCACTCTGAATATTGTGTTATTATTCCCTTTGGGCGTCGGTGGCACAGAGGTTAGGACTCTCGCCAACCATGCACATAGTCCGGGGTTCGATTTCCTGCCGACGCAAACTTGTTATCGGCCTGCAAAATTTAGGCTATCGATATCACATGCTGAAAATAGCATACTTATATCAAAAGTACAGTGTGGAATCAAGCTATAATCAAAAAAATCTAGGGCTTCTATAGCATATCTTTATTTTGTCCTGGTTTCTGTATTCCTCTACAGCTGGTCCAACGATTATCCATAAACTCTCGTCTCCTCCTTACATGACCTCCTCCATATCACCCTTGGACTCCCAACTCACTATTTCGCACTCGAGCACCTGGCCGGCGATGTCATCCGATGGTCTCTTCGGAGAACGTCTGACCTATCTTCACTTTTTACGGGATATTTGCTGAATAACAAGTTCCTGACTGGTTCTTTCCCAGAATTTCTTGTTACTAATCCCTTCTGGCTGGTCAACTGACATTCAGTATGGAGCCAGTAGCCTATTAGAAGTGCTTTCGTGACGCACCAAGTTCCTAAACCATACAAAAGAACTAATTTGACATTAGTGTTGAAAACGCGAGTACGCGAAGATTTACAAACTGATTTGACAGTGACGAAAGTCTCCTTTGCCTTTCCGATTTTACATTTGACATCCTCATGCGTGCCACTCATAGTTGAAAAGATGCTATCTAGATAAATGAAGGAAAAAAACTCTTTCAAACTTCTCTCCATACTGATTGGTGCTTGTTACTCTGGAATATTTAGGATTGAATTTAATGCAGTACATTTAATATGGTGGTTGGTGTTCACTATTCTGTTTATTCAAAAGAAGGATTTTTTCTTCATTTACTTACCTCAAAAGTGATATAATTTACTGTATTTCATATTTAGAATAAGTAGATACTATCTACTGATTTCTCCAAGCAGTAATGAAATCTCTGTCTGCTATTTCATTCACACCTTTATAGATATTTCATTTAAACTGCTCCAAATCGATATTATTCACTAAGATTTAGTAATTTTATTTTTAAATTTACTTAACAAACAATGATTTAATAGTTAAATTATTTTCAGGGTGAACATTTATTGGCGAATGACATTTTTGAAGTACAGTCTCAGTTGTTGGCTATTACTCAGGCATGTCACTTTGAAAACAGTAAGTCTTTTAAAAACTAAACTAACGTGATGTTTTATAACAGTGTATACGCAACCTATTGGTACCCGGTCTGTTGATAGATTCTTTAAATAAATCCTGTTATGAATATAAGTTCATTTAAATATTGGTTTATAGGGATTTGATTGATTGGTTACAGGATTTCATCGTGAGCTGACATAGGTTAGAGAACCATTGGAAAAATGTTGAGTACTGGACAGCTGTTTCGTCAGTCTGGTTTGGGATTCTTCATTAATACTCACCCTTAGCCATAGTTCAAACCCAGTAACTCCCAGTTACAAGGCTAGCTCGTAGACCATTCAGCCACCGTGACCCGATTCAGCAGTTCATGAATTCTAACTTCTGCCAAAACACTATACAGTGCGACCACTAACCTATGTCTTCGATGTGTATTTGACCTCACGCCCTCATGGGCCACTGGATCGGGTTCCTGTGGCTGGATGGTCTACCAGAAGGTCCTGAGTGCGTTCTGTTGAAGAGTTCCAAAGTGGGACGAAACAGCAGTCCAGTACTCCCTGGTTTTCCAATGGTTCTCTAACCGATGTCAGCTTATGATGAAATCCTGATACCATTAAATGCATTTACTTCGTTGAAGTATGTGTGACGTTCAAGCTATTGTAAAACCACAGCCTTTATTACTGTTAATCATAACTCGATACAAATTATTCAATGTCACATTCAGTCTGATGATTGTGGTGAAAATGTGTACATATTTAGCATTAGTTTTATCGAACAATAATTATCATTCTCTAAATTGCAATAAACACGTCTCATTTTTACTAAATTAGATTTTGATTTAAATCAGGAACTGATATTTATTAGAGAAGCATTGAAAACCAGGCAGTGCTAGACAGCTTTTTCTTACATGACCCCATGGATACGTACTGCCAAATAGTCCTAAACTAAGACGAAGCGACTGCCTACTACGGCCTAGTCTTCATTGGTTCTCTAAACGAAGTTAATTTAGAATCTCATTTAAAACCGATCAAAACCCTCCAAAACTACAACTTGAAAATGAATCAGGTTTTAACTCATCATAATCAGTGTTTAAATCGCAAATTTTTAACTGAGTTTATAAATAGGTAGTTTCGTTGAGACTATTAGTTGAGTAATAGTCACTTATTAAAGCCTTAGTTTCGTTTATTTCCACAAAATTTGTTTCGCATATGATTTTACAACTAGGCATGTGTATTTCTGTACACAAATTCTTCTTCAATAATTACAGATAACGTTGACCTGTACAAACTGCTGGGCAAATTGGAATCAGCTAGCCACAATGAACGAATTAATCGAATAAAAGGCATTTTATCTAGATTGATGGATTTCCTACACAACAGAAATTTCAAATCTTTTAATTTAGAAATTTTTTTGGCCTCTTTTCGTTTCGTGGAAATTCAGAAGCGTATTAAAAGTATGCATACTGAATGCTGTTCAGTAATATTGATATATTTTGTTTTATTTTTGTAATGAATCTATTCTGTAGAAATATTTTTGTCTTCTGAAGCCTACAGCTAAGAGATCAGAGTCCAACAGCTCATAAATATTTAAATCTAGAGTATTACACTTTAAATCATGGAAACTAGTAGCTTAACATTACCAGTTCGAAATGCAGGATACATTCTTGATTGATTTATCTTCATACTGTACAACATCTCTTTAATTTCGTTCGTTGTAACAATGTTTTTCAGAACAATTCAGTTATATTCCCTATAAATGAAATGGGATATTTGTGTCACCAGAACTATCATGACCCGTGAACAATTTTCAGATTATCAGCTTAAGTTATCAGTTCCTGAGTACCGCTAAGTGTAAAACTAACTACATATTTCAGTTATGATACAGACGTGTGACATGGGAGCTTAGAGACAACAGGAATAGAAGTGGTACTTAAGTGAACAAACATTGCTTTAAAATTAGAAACTGTACGTCAGTGGCACAGTAGTTAGGACTCCCGCCGACCATGCACATGGTCCGAGGTTTGATCCCCTGCCGATGCAAACCTGATATCTATGGTCGGCCTGCAAAATTTGGGCTACCGATAACACATGCTGAAAATTCCATACATGTACCAAGAAAATACGGTATGGAATCAAGCTGTAATCAAAAAATTAATAAATATTCTACGGAAATTGATGAAGATCTTCACAGTTTCGATAATGACAGTTTGTAAACATGTTTGCATCATTTCCAAAAAATTGCTATCCATGTGATAGAAAGTCTCTTATTCCTGCCATCCTAGCCAAGCAATCTACATCTCCTGACATGCCTTATATCAGTAGACAGAATCTTGATGAACTGGTAATATATTTTGGTCTAATAACCTTTAACGCTTCTGCAAAACAATTTATACCTCCTCTAACAGTGCTGGTCTAGAAAGACGATGATTCAGGATGTATCCGACATATTCCAAACACCTCAGTCAATGCAGTTTCATAAACTTACCGATCTACATACCATCCTTAAAAAATACTCCATTACTAATTATTATCATATCCTTTAATTCCTAGAGGAACATAGGGCTTCAGCCGCGCCTCTCCACTGCGTTCGGTTTTCTGCCAACGTTTCCACCCCGCTCCAAGTCTGCACACACACTTTCATCTCCTCTTCACATGACCTCCTCCAAGTCACCCTTGCACTGACGACCATCTCGCTGCTTCCCTTTCGAGTTCCACTCGAGCGATGACTTGTCTAGTGATGTCTCTTGATAGTTTCCTCAGAGTATGGCCAATCCATCTCCATTTCTTCCTGCCTATTTTTTTCACAATCGGTTCCTGGTTGGTTCGCTCATTGCAAAATATCTCTGTTGCTGATCTTTTCTGGCCGGCCACCTGATCTTGAGTTTTGAGCGCAGACAGCTGTTGATGAAGGTCTGTAGTTTGTTTGAGATGCTCTTTATGACGCGCTGGCCAAGTCTCTGATCCGTATAGTAAGTGGCACTGACTTTACATTGGAGTTGAAAATCCGGATCTTATTTTTCATGCTGAGTGCTGTTGACTTCCACACAGACTTGAGAGTAATGAAAGCTTGTCTCGCTCTCCCGATCCTTGCTTTGATATCCTCGTCAGTTCCACCCGCCTGTAGTTGAAACGATGCTTCCCAGGTAGGTGGGTTAAGGAGGTCGTTTCTTTCAGGTTCCTCCCATTTATGCTGATGGTTGTCTGTTGTTGTTGTTGCTGTTGATGTTGGCTAGGAATCTTCATCATCTCTGTTTTATCTGTGTTCACGTGAAGTCCTATCTTTGATGCTTCTTCTGCCAACTTGTTACTTTTCACTTGCATATCTTCCAGTTTGTGGGAAATCAGACATATATCATCGGCGAAGTCCAGATCCTCCAAGTTTTTTGTGTCAGTCCATTTTATGCCTGTTCCTCATTGGCCGTTGTCTGTCGCATTATCCAATCAATTGCAATCAGGAAGATCATTGGTGATAGTAGACAGCCCTGCCTCACTTCCAGGACGGGAGTGAGCCATTACTAACCTTAGTATTAATTACCATGTCTCTGCACCCAGTATTAGAAAGTGAACAAAGATACCTATGGCCAAAAAGATGCATATTTTTGTTGGTTTCACGCTTAGCAGAAGTGAATCAGTTCCATTATGAGTAAATTTTTGTTTTGATAAAGTCTCACAGTGTTATGCAGTAATGTTTACTGTAAAAATTACTGTATAACACTGTGAGACTTTATCAAAACAAAAATTAACTCATAATAATAATAATAATTTTTTGCTTTATTCTAAAAACAGTACTAATGAAGTGAACTAGGATGAAGTGAACTGTTGTACACTACACATGCAATCTGGTGAGTAGACTGATTTCTTGTGTGCCCTGAACATAATGTAATTCTACAAATTCCAGGTAACTTAGCCTTAAACATCTATTCTGAGACTTAGAAATTAGTCAGTTAACGGTGATACAGCCTCCTAAATAAATGAAGTGGTCAACTCATTTGATCACTATAAGAGCTACAAGTAGTACTTATGATAATAATTACTATTCCATGGCTAAGTTTTTAAATTCTATTTCTACCATGTTTTTCTTCCACAGCTAACTGAAGAAACTTTGATTTTCTCAAGACTTGGATGAAATTAGTACCGAACTTTGACGGAGAAAATCCCGCAACCATTATATTCATTCTGCTCATACACGTTTATCTTGTGATATAAAGTTTCTTGCCTATGGTACATTGATTTGAATATAATCTAAGTTTGTTACTTGTTATTCTATCTCATAGCATTACTAATACAATATTGTTGTCAAAAGAACCTATTATGCTTTGAATGAGAGTAAACATTGTGACATGAATAAAATACTCCTAATAAAACAATTACAATTAATTTAAAACTGAAAAATTCTTTTTTCATTATTACTGTCAAGTGTTAATAAAGAAAGTACGAATCTGGGTTCTCCTGTGTGTTGTTATATTTGTCACTATTAGAACTGTTGTGAAACGCTCTATATTATATTATTATTGCTCCTTTGGGTTCCTAATGAAACATAGGGCTTCAACTGCACGTCTCCACTTGCTTCTGTCTTCCTTCTGCTGTACTTTTCACCTGCATCCATTCTAGTTCATACTCTTTCAACTCCTCTTCACACGATCTCCTCCATGTCACCCCTGGACGTCCCACTCGCCGCTTCCCTTTCGGCCTCGTTCCACTCAAGCAATGGTCTGACGCGCGCGCGATGTTACCCAGTGGCCTCCTCAGCGAGTGTCCAATCCATCGACCTCCACTTTCTCCTGCATATTTGTTGGTTCTTGTTTTGTTTGTTCCCAGCCATAGTTTCTTGTTGGTGATTCTTTCCGGCCCGACCATCTGATCTTCAGTATAGATCCAGTGAAGACAGTTGTTGGTTGATGAAGGTCTGCAACAGGCTGTTGGAAATATTCTTTGTGACCCGCCCGCCAAGTTTTTGATCCGTATAGAAGAACTGACTGACTTGACGTTTGTATTGAAAATTCGACCGAATTTTGTTGTTGATGCTGGCTGAGTGACGAAGGTCTCCAGGTTGGTTTCAGTTGGTTGATGAATATGTTTCTCGCCTTCCCGATTCTCGCTCGATTTGACATCCTCGTCCGTTCCGACTGCCTGAAGTTGAGACACTGCTCCCTAGATAAGTGAGTGAATGAAGTGACCTCTTTCAAATCCCTCCCGTTGATGGTGATTGGTGCTGGATGTTGGTGCTGTTGTTGTTGTTGACTTGTTATTTTCATAACCTCCGTGTTGTCTATGTTCACCTGGAGTCCTGTCTTCGCCGGCTGCTTCTTCGACCAGTTTGTCGGTCAGTTTTCGCTTGTAAGTCTTCGATTTTGTGTGACATCAAACATAAATCATCTCCGCGCGAAATCCAGGTCTTCTAGGTTCTTCACGTCGATTCAGGATATCCCAGTCTTCTCGTTTCCCACTCTGTGACGCATAATCCAGTCAGTCCACCACAATTAGGAATATCATTAGTGATAATAAGCAGCCTTGTCTGACTCCTCTGTTTACTCCAAACGCCTCACTGAATTTTCCGTTGTGGATCACTTGACATGTGCCGTTGTGAAACGCTCTACTCATATAAAAATACATTAGTAATGTGAAATGATACCTGCTGGTTAAATATCTACAGGAAGAAACAAGAAATAAAAAAAACGAACTACTAATGGCGAAAACACAAAAGGAACAACAGAGGATAACTCAGCTGTAAACTAGAAAGAAGACATTATTTTCACTAACTGGGTTGAATGCAGTTTTTTTAAAGATTTTATCCGTATTAATTGCGATTTGTCCGAATTAGTATTTTTTTTTCTTCTCGCCTTTACTGTATTATTTATTATAGGTGTCATGAATTGATTTATATTTTTATTGGAAACTTTCCTAGAAATCGACAACTTTCATAAGTGTAATGCACCAAATTTAGGAAATACATAGACAATATAAAAAGTATTAGTGATTAGGTTTAGCAGCTTAGGTGATAAAATAATGAGTAATTTTTAGTTGTCGTCTGTAGCACAGCGGTAGAATGCTTGCCAAGCAGGCCTCCTCTGGTCCGGGGTTCTATCCTCGACCGACACACTCCTTTACCTCGCTAAGCCAGTAACAAGACTGGTAAAGAGGAAAGGTCAGTCATGCGGCTATCGAAACTTCAGGCCTCTAGCTTGAAACCCTATGTTCCACTGGGGACGTAAAGGAATTTAAAAATAAAATGAGAGATGTGAAATTTGTAATATTCAACAAAATCTTCATAGCAAAAAGAGGAAATTGGGTGAATGGTTTAATGAAACCAATGGAAGGTAATTAAACAGTGGAGTTTTCAAGATTGTTAATTTTAATGCAAAAAGACTGTTAAGAATTGATGACATTGAAGTTTTGTGAGAGTCAAAACCGGTAGTATTAGTCTAATATCTTTTTCTATTAGGAACAGAGGAGACGTAAAAATGTAAAAAGAAACAACTGTTCATGAAACTGCAGTTTAATGGGGACATGACTAGTGAAGTCTTACATCAGAGATTATTGAGAGCGATAAAACGGACTTATACTGCCGCCATCCTCTGTTTGTCATTTTCCAGCCAACCAATTTTGATTGCTCAAGTGAAAGATGAGTTACCTAGTTGTGCCACTTCCATGTGTATCTATAAGTTTAGTTGCTCCTGTGGAGAAAGCTATATAGGCCGAACAACTAGACAGCTTAACAAACGCATTAATGAGAATCTTCCTTCATGGTTCGGAAAAGGTCAAATAAAATCCATACGAAGTTCTATTTTGGCTCATTTGATTGATAGTGGTCACCAAGTGGACAAAAGTAGTGCCTTCAAAGTTGTCTATCGCATTCCATCGAGTCTTTCGAACGGAATCAGAACCCGTCTTTTACACTTAGCCGAAACTATGGGAATTCGAGAGAACAATCCCAGTCTTTGTATACAAAAGAAATTTGTTCTACCTTTGTCTCTCCCTTGGCCTAGGTGAATTCTATTCAAAACCATCCCACCCTTTCTTATCATCCATCTCCTTCGTACTTTTATGATATTTATTTAAACTCTGATTATCGTTCCATTTGATTTGACCTAATTTATTTATTTATTGAATTGCCTACATATACACATATAAGCATATACTATCTTTGTTATTCTTATCACCTGTATAAACCTTATTATCAAAAATTATATCTGTCTAAATCTCAGAGAAACTGAAGTGAATAATTCCAACATGGAGATAAGCATACATCCAAACCCGTTGCTTAGAACTGGATTAGTACTCTGCTGATTCCTTGTCGCAAAGAAACAACATACAAAATAAGGCAAACGCTTAGCTAACATGACATTAGTGAATTTTCGTGCAACGAACGCCTTCCACTCATTACTAGTAAGGTTTAAGGACAAAATAGAAGAAGATAACCAACAGAACAGCGTATACCATGTAAAGTGTGGAGACTGTGCTGGTATATATATGGAGGAGAAATTTACAGCCAGGTAAATGTAAGAGTAAGATGAAATAGAAAATAAATCAGGAAATGCACCACATACTATAGAAACGGGACACAAGATCGATTTTGATAAGAGCAAGATTTTACAGAAGGGCCTCGGTACATAAAAAGAAAGATTGACTGCAGAGGCCTTACATACATGCGTTTGAATACACGTGAAGGTGTGATGTTAGCTAACGCGTGACAAATCTTGACTAATAAATAAAATGAATATGTATCACTTATTCCTATGCGTAATCTATTATCCTGATTAAATATATACGTATGTAAACATATTCTTATTGAAATACTAAAAAATGGCATACATTTGTTTTCGCCTTCACGCGCATTATTATATACCACATACATATTTTTCTAATTCAGATTTTTGTGACCATGACCTTTATTCGAACATCGTCCTTAAAGACTGATATAAAAGTGCACACTGTTTAAGTTTGTGTAACTATCTGGTCAAATCTTGATAATAATTCATGCAGTTTCGTTTTTGATTGCTACTCATGATTTAGACATGACTGGACAAGAATTCTAAAGATAGGATGTGTCCTTATATATAATCAGCTTTCGAGATTGATCTTCCCATGAATCGATATCATCCAGAATTGATATCAGTTAGAGAACCATTGAAAACCAGCACTGGAGTACTGGACAGCTGCTGTTTCATCCTAGTTTGGGAATCATCGGCAGTACGCACCCACTGGGATTCGAACCCAGGACCTTCCGGTTACAAGGCAAGCTCGTATACCATTCAGCCACTGGGACTCGATTCAATGGCTCGTGAATTCTAACTTCTACGAATTCGTGATTTAACGCGTAAAACATAACTAATCCTTAAAAACCAAACTATAGAAAATCACCCAGAATGCCTAAAAACATTGGATAGCTCCTATGTCATAGTTTGGAGGTATTCAACAATGAACACCCACAACTACGTTGAGGAATGAACCTGGGATCATCAAGTTGTAGGGCGTGAGTGTTACCGTTTTGGTTACTGGACTGAAGCTTAGTGACCTATCACATGCTGTTTTTACCAATTTACGGCATACAACCATTATTTGGTTTGCTAGATAGTAACTTCTTTTAAACCTATATCATCATTAAGACTTCGTGAAATCCGGTTGAGACAAATCACTAATGAGCAGTGAACTGGAATTCAGCCTCTCAGTGTACGATCTGTTTTTTGATGAGTAAAACTTCTACAGATATCAATATCTGATTTTTGAAAGATTTAGGAAACTTAATGATGTCCAGTTTGGTAGAGAGCAGTTCCAAGAGCACAACTGTCTAAATGAAAAGTCACGCACTGCCTATGAAAAGGCCTTGAAGCTTTATGATCACCGGGAAAATGTTAGGCGAAAACAGGAAGTGCATCTGTAATACTTTGGAAGCTATCCCAGATCATCAGAGATATCAACAGCAGGAGGCTTTATATCAGTGAGATTGTCCGTAAAATAGATAACAAACCATTCAAAATTCTTCAGAGATACGTGAAACACTCATCACAACACCTATAAAATCAATCTAGATGAAACACATTGCTGGAATTTCATAGCCTAGAAAGTAAATCTCTATCACCCATGAATATCAGTCT